TTTGTAAAAGTACATAAACATATAAACATAAAACATGTTTTCTCCTTTGCCAAAAATATTACTAGTTATGTTTAACAACATTTATACAGTATGATTTTTATTAATAATAATATTAAAACTGAATAATTTTTACTTTTATTTGTTGCATTAGTATAGTTTAAGCTTCAGTGTTTGTTCAAATTATCATTTTATTTTGTCACTAAAGAGTGTGCACAAATGTTAAGCTGTGCAAACATTAAACTTTGCTCTAGTCGACACTGGATGTGTTCTGTTAAACTATAATTACTAAAACTAAGACTGGAACTAAAATTATACAAATTAAATAGAAATGTGTTCTCAAAATAAAAACTAAACTAAAACTAACAAAACTATTAAATAGGGCTGGGTGATTTGGCCTAAAATCAAAATCTCGATTAATTGAACATTTCAACTTGATTATGATTAATGATCAATTATTTTATTTATTTTATATTGAACATAGTACTCTGACAGATTTTGTACAGAAATTATGTTCATATTACAAGTGAGAGAATTTTAAATGAAGGGTGCATTACTTGATTTTAAAATAATTGAAGGAAGATTATTTATTGAACACCAGCGTTGAACAAATGAAATTAAAACACACATTGCTTAAAACCAACAGTCTTTTTAATTATAAAAAAATTAAAACAAATATTAAAACAAATACTAATGCATTTTTTGAAACAAAATAATTATATTTAATGTTTCATAAGTAGAAAATAAGCAACATCTCTTCTAAATAAAATACTAACTCATGCATATCCTTTAAACTATATTTTAAACAGTGCATTTCTTGAATATAATGTAAGAAATATTTTTCTGTAAAAAATAATTTTATTTTAATGGAAAATATGCTGTCTCAAGGCATTTCTGGCGCAGCTTACAATCGTTGTCTATGTAATGCAAACGTGCAACGTGTAATTACAGTTATCGAGGAGGTGTGCGACCACGCGAAGGCTGCGCTGGACCATACCCGTGCGTTTGACAAAGAAATATAAATCAGCCTTAACAGAGCAGGGTCAAGTGACTCCAAACACAGTAGGAAAAGTAATTTAAAAATTCACTTGAAAAAATTAGTTTGATTATAGGTTCTGAATGTTGATTTTTTTTAAATACTTTTCGATTAATCGTCCAGCCCAACTGCTAAAGAACAAACTAAAACTAAACTGAAAAGTACAAGACAGCTAGTATACAGAATAGTATCACAATAAAAACTAATTTAAAACACAAAACTATGATAACCTTGTTTCAGAGTAAAAAAAAAGTGTAGCTGCCTTGAAATGTAAGTTAATAAAATTAGCATAATTCCAGTTTAAAGTCATTTCAACTTACATCAGTTATACTGACCTAAACATCAAGTTAACATTTGTATAACTTAAAAAAACAAAGTTAAAATGTAACTTACTAAGCTATGTTAAATCAACATAAAACAAATATTGCCATTATTACTTGGGCATATCATTTTTAGGTTGGTGTTGAAGTTGTCCAACTACATGTTCAACATTGTTCAGCAACATTTTTCATTTATTCATAATGTGTTCTTCTGCTTACTCCCTTTATTTATCTGGGGTCACCACAGCGGAATAAACCGCCAACTTATCCAGCATATGTTTTACTCAGCGGCTGTTCTTCCAGCTTTAACCCAGTACTGGGAAACATCCATACACACTCATTCACAAACACACACACACACACACACACACACACACACACACACACACACACACACACACACACACACACACACACACACTACGGGCAATTTAGTTTATCAAATTCACTGATTGGACTGTGGGGGAAACCAGAGCACCCAGAGGAAACCCACACTAACATGGGGAGAACATTCAAACTCCACACAGAAATGCCAACTGACCTAGCCTTAAACCAGTGACCTTCTTGCTGTGAGGCGACAGTGCTACCCACTGAGCCACCACGCCGCCTGAAGTACTTTTAACTTGCATCAGTTATACGGACCTAAACATCAAGTAAAAATCTGACTTACTAAACTATGATAAATCAACATAAAAACATGTGTTGCTAAATTTTTTTGAGCACACATTTTTTACAGTGTTAGTGTTGAAGTCATCCAACATGTTCAACAACAACAGCTGAACATTTAAAAAATGGAGAAACTTTTAACTCTCTTAAATGATGACGACGTGTTGAAATTTTCTAATCTAGTCCGGGCGTTCCCAAACTTTTCAGCCTGTGACCCCCAAAATGACAATGCCAGTGACTCACGACCCCTAATATCCCCTGAGGTGGTTATGAATACAGAAACCTTGAATGCAATGGCACACAAACACCAACAGACCCAAGTCTATTCTTTGTTTATTTTTTATGTATGTGAGTGCTGTTAATGGGCCAGAAAGTTTTACCTGGTGTTATAAAATTAATATGCTGAATCTGACGCTATTGCTGTGTCTTTAATATAATTTAATTACCCCAGGGGTCACAATCTAATAGAACTATAAGCTACTATATTAACTATATAGTATATAGTAACTATTTTTTTCTTCAGTAGGTTATGCATAAAATATGGTAAATCTTAGGGTTTAATAAAAATAAATAGATTTTTGGAAATAAACAGGCGACCCCCCCTTCATTGTCCTGCGACCCCCACTTTGAGAACCACTGATCTAGACAATCACATTTGCACCTCGTTTTCAGGATGAATGAAGAAACAATCTTACAAGTATAGTTTCAGCTGTCAGGATTAAGTTTTATCTGGTGGAAAAGTTAAAGAAGTTCTCAGATGCCGCTCAGATGTGGTATATCTGCTTAGAAATTATGATCTCTTTAAACAGAGGCACTGTGTCACAGTTCCAAAATTAGCTAAAGTGTTAAGTGTTTTGAAGAGTTTTGAGATAAAAGACAGATAGTCTTAAATGTGACTTTAAAACTCTTAAAGCCTGTGAAGCAATCAGTCAGTCCCACTGATTTCTTCCCACTAAAAGCATGTCAGTCGACTGGATCATTTAATTCTTGAAACCAGAATTGCCCATGAAGCTTAAAATTCAGAGCATAAGGAGCTTCCCTGAATTGGCATCAAACCGAAGACTGACTTTTACCAAATTGGTCTTAGCAAGTGTGAAATACATCTGACCCCATTTGTCATTGTTTTACATTCTCAGTTGTGTGATACTGAATTAACTAATTTTAGAAACCATCTGCTAAGCTGCTAAATATTACTATATCTGTTCCCATGATCCATGTCCATACTGCATAAATCACTTATGGATATCAGAAATATTTTTTTATTAATAATTGTTAATTTACTATTATGCATTTGTTTGTTTAATTTATTACATTTTTGTTCATTTATTTCATAATGAGCATCATTTTTTAAATCGTATTTAGTGCAGGCTGATAAGATAAACATTCTGTTACATTTTCTTGTTTGTTCCATAACAAACTGACTAAGGAGGAGGAGTTTACATCATGTGTCGAACGCTTCAGCATGTTTTCAGATGCACAGTCAACGGTAGTTACCTGGGTCCTAATGCTACTTTCCCATGAGATGTTCTGTATTCATCTAAAGAGATCATTGTAAAATAGTCATTGTGTCTGTGGCATCTAATTTTGTGGCAGTAGTTTTACAATTTACAGTATGAATTTGATAAATATTAATATTTGCTTAATATTAAAACAAATCTTTCCTTAGATTTTTTTTAGTTTCAAAGCAAAACCCCATCCGCCTTCAACTTCTTAAATCTGATATGACCATAAGTAGAACACACAAATGCCTTTTTATTATGATAGTAAGGTGCGCATCTGCTCAATGTCACAGGAGAGCATGCAGCCTGACATAGCTGCACATAACATTATCTGCTCTCTGTATCAAAGTGAAGGCGCATATGAAGGTCATGTTGACAGCTGTCCCAAAGCATCTTGGTTGTTCGGTATAAAAGGATGTCATAATGTTGTCAAATGTCTGGAAGGTCAAAACTCAGCCTAGCATATAAGAAACCAGAGTAATCTGTAAAACGTTTCAGGTTTCAAATGAGCATTGAAAGTAAAATGTTGCTGTTGGGAGAATCTGAAGGTTAAACTGGGTTAGCACTATTTGTAGTCTACTGCTACCATCCAGAGTCCAGTGCACAATACTACTCCATGAAAAATGTGTTATTTTTTCATATCTATTTTTCCTATTCATTTTATTTGTTTGTATATAATATATTTAAAATTTATTTAAATACATTTTTATTCAGACATGCATTAACATGATAATTTCCTGGTAGCCTTTTTTTAAAAAGCTTATCAGGTTGAGCATGCATACATACTGTATATTAGAGAATATGTGAGGAGCTGAGTCAAACCATCAGTGTTCTATTTAAGTCCGAACGCCCTTGTTTCTCTCTCACTGCTGTGAACATTACCCTATAGATACCCTATAGAAAGATCTAAATCTGTAATGTGTTAACAGCGATGAGAGCTTTGTGCTTATTACAGACTAATAATGCACTAAGTCTCAATTTTGCTTGTGTGTTTCAACCGTGCAATTCTGGATTTATATTTTCAGCTAGAGAGAGGATTTTTTTACCCTTTTCAGAAATGCTGCAATGCGTCGCGCAGCACCAAGACTGGGTCAGTGTAACGCGGCTGGCGGCAATCGCCAGCTCACCATCCCCATGGCAACAGCCAATAGATTTGCTTGCAGAAGCTTTGCAATATTGTTTTGATTGCACGGAATTGAGAATACTGCTTTCACAGGATTAGTGTACTCCTGCACAGCAGCAGGAACAGACAAAGAATAGTGAATAAACAGTAATGAAATGCATGGAGGCTGTGATTGCATCATCCCAATTGGTTGCAACCTTTTTTTTCTACAATGTATTCCTTATGCAAAATTATTCTAAATAAACTGTATTTTAAATAAATATGACCTACTTACACCAATACGTTTACAGGAAATGTGATAGGAATTAGCACATCTTTAGCAGATAATTTCAGTGTGTTTTACTCCTGATTGTTTTCAGGACAAAGACTTCTGCAATATAAGAGTGATATCCTTGAGACTGTTGTGTTGGTGAATCCTTCTGAGGAGAACATTGCTATAGAGGTAATCTATTTCCTTCCCTAATTTCTGTCAGCTGAAATGTTTGCAATATTTGCATGCAACCATCCAAATGATCAATTGTAACATTAAACATTAAAGCAAATGCATTCTCTTTCTTTTCTAGATCAGAACACTGGTCTGTGACTCAGCAGGCCACAAGTTATTGGTCCTAAGTGGGCAAAGTACTGACCGGAGTGGTGACATTATCCTGCAAAGTGGAGCGTTTGGTTGGAAGAATCTCTCTGACATTCTCTCAAGTCGTAGGGTAAGTGGCTACTGCAGCATTACAGAGCCCATAATACCTCACACAGCACTTAAACATTTACTTTTTATTGAACTATAAAAAAACATTTTATTTTTTCTTGTAGATTAAAGATCTCCTAAATCAGCCATACTCAGGCCAACAAGCCTGTTTAACTGTGTTCTGTAAAGGAGAGGGGGGCTGGAGCTCCCTAGGATACGTACAGGAGCAGAGCATACTGAAGTACAGACTGAACCCTGAGCCTGTGCTGCCTGAAATGGAAGGTGTGAGTGAGTTCACAGAATATGTCTCTGAGACTGTGGATGTTCCTTCTCCTTTTGAGCTCCTGGAGCCACCAACGTCAGGAGGTTTCCTCAAGCTGTCCAAGCCATGCTGCTATATTTTTCCTGGAGGACGGGGAGACTCTGCTTTGTTTGCAGTCAATGGGTTTAATATTTTGATAGATGGCGGATCTGACAGAAAGTCTTGTTTTTGGAAGTTGGTCAGACATCTGGATAGGATTGATTCTGTTCTCCTAACACACATAGGAGCAGATAATCTCCCTGGCATAAATGGACTGTTACAGAGAAAAATTGCAGAGCAGGAGGAAGAGAAGATCCATGGTTTAAATACCTACGGAGACTGGATGAAAAATCTCATCTCACCAGAACTTGGTGTTGTGTTCTTTAATGTTCCTGAGAAGCTAAAGATGCCTGAATCCACACTGAAAGCAAAGAGAAGCATTGAAGAGGCATCTCTCACATTGCAGTACCTTCACAAACTTGGCATCAAACCTGAGCCTCTATACAGGGTTGTGAGCAACACAATTGAGCCTTTAACACTCTTTCACAAGCTAGGCGTTGGCAAACTAGACATGTATATTCTAAATCCTCTCAAGGACAGTAAGGAGATGCAATTCTTCATGCAGAAGTGGGCTGGTAACAGTAAAGCTAAGACGGGTATTGTCTTGGCCAATGGCAAAGAGGGTGAAATTTCTGTCCCTTACCTTACATCAGTAACAGCTCTGGTTGTGTGGGTACCTGCCAGCCCAACTGAAAAAATCGTCAGAGTTCTGTTTCCTGGAAATGCCCCACAAAACAAAATATTCGAGGGTTTGGAAAAGCTGCGGCATCTCGATTTCTTACGATATCCAGTAGCCACTCAAAAGGATATGTCGTCGGGAGCTCCGCCTCCACTGATTAAACAAACTAAAATGAAGCTGCGAACTGATAGCAAAGAAAGTCTTAAATCATCTCCTAAAATGTCCTCCACAACAAAAGCAAGCAAGAAAGAGGCAAATGAAGATATTGAGTCAAAGAGTGAATCTGTTAAGGAGAACAAAGCTGAAAAGAAAGAGAAAAAAATGAAAGAGACCGTTAAAGCTCCCAAACCGCTGAAACCCAAGACAGCATCACCTGATTCACTTAAGCTTGAGAAAAAGAAGCTACAAAGAGAAAAATCTCCTAAAAAGCATGTAAAGGAGAAGGCATCCAAGATGGAGGAAAAGAAAGATCTGGAAAAGAAAGACACAAAGAAAGAAAAGACGGAAGTAAAAAAAGATGACATACTTAAAAAGGAAAAAAAAGACAAAGTTAAGCCTGAACTGAAAAAAATCACAAAACCTGATCTGAAGCCCTTCACCCCTGAAGTCAGGAAGACTCTGAACAAAGCAAAGGTTCAAGTAAAGCCCAAAACAGAAAAAACAAAAGCTGCAAAGGAGCAGGAAAACAGGCCGGCTGCTAAGCAAGCTTCAGTGGAGAAACAGGAGATAGACAGGTCCTTAGTCTCTTCCCCAGAGGATCTTACCAAGGATTTTGAAGCCTTGCGACTAGAAGAGGAACTGTCCAAGTCCATAGAGAGCAAAATTCTTCCAAAAGTCCAGTCTGCAGTGGACACAGTTGTCCCTCACATTGAATCTCCTGATGAGGGAATAAATACAACTGATGTTGAGACAGAATCTCCTCTTGAGGAAAGAGTACCATATGGAGCAAACGCAAATAAATTCGCCTCTAAAATCACAGACAGATTTGAAGATGAGGGTGCAGCTACAGAGTATGACCACACCACAGGACTGAAAGGTGCTAAGACATCTGACCTTGCCAGGATGGGAGAAGATGCAATGAAACCCAAAAGAAGTGATAGTGAAGAAGATGAGGATGTTATTGAGAAGGCAGAGCTTGAAGATGCAGAGGATATAGTACATGAGGAGGAACTCAAGTATAAATCTGATGAGTCAAGGAAAGAAAAACTTGGAAAGGACTGGGAGACAAAAAGTGAGATTAAATCTACCAAATCTCTGGGTGCTGCAGATCATGTTTCTTTAATCCAAGATGAGACCATTCCAGGTTACTCTGAGACAGAGCAGACTCTCTCTGATGAGGAGATTAATGAGGAGACAGAAGAGCGAATCCCACATCTTCAATATGATGTTGGTTCTTACGACATCTCAGTTCCTGATGAACCGGGGACATTTGACACCATCCATGGCATGAAACCACCAACCATATCTGTTGCTTCTGAGTTCTCATCAAAGGGATTTGCAGTAGACCAGGAGCCAGTGCTTTCAGCTTATGCAACTAATATAGTTGCAGCTCCATTGGCTGAAGAAGAGCACATATCATCAGCTACCTCTATCACTGAATATGACAAATTATCATCCTTTGCCACATCTGTTACTGAAGATCAGTCTATAGCATCTGTGACAGCACCACCTACTGAAGATGCAGGAAAAAGCTCTTTACTCTTAGATACTATAAATAGTATACCATCATCCATACAGACAGATGCTACTCAAGGAAAAGAGTACCTTCACTCTGCTGGAACTATCTCTCCAACTTCTTCCTTAGAGGAGGATAAGTGTTTTAAATCACCTCCCTCAGAGGAATATCAACCTATTGTGCCAGAAACAGAAACTACAGTGAAGGCTACTGCTCCCACAAATTATGAGGATGAGGAAGATGAGGAAGAGGATGAGGATCAGACACCAAATGTCGATATGCCACTTGGAAAGATCCATGAGGGTTATGCCTCTGCTGCCATACTCCAAGACACTGAGAAGGCTTCTGATAAGATTCACTCATCAATGGCACCTATTCCCCCTCCTGCAATGTATGTTGGCACACAAGAAAGAGATGAAAAGGCATCCTTTGAGCATAAATCTAAATTGAGTTCTCCTGAGAAGATTTTGTCTTTCTCACCAAATTTACCTTGCACCTCAGAGGTGAACATTACCTCGGAGAGTGAAGAAAGATGCCTCAGTCCAGATGACAGCACTGTGAGGTTCGCCTCACCTACACAATCAGGACCAACCAGCGGTAGCTACTCTCCAACTGAGGAGAGGTCACAGAAGCCACTGACTGTGGATAAAGAGGAAAAACTGGACAAGGAGACTGTTGACTCTTATTTGACCAAAGATGCTACTTCTGACAAAAAGTCTGTGAAAATAATTGATGATGAAGTGGACCCTTTTGTAAAGGAGTTCTCAAGCACCAAGACTGCAAAATTTGACTTGGAAGATGAGGAGGAGGAAGATTATTATGGAAAGGAAACATATAAGGTGTGTGGTAAAACTAAATATAAAGAGGAAAGGGAGTGCACTTTTCTCGATGAAGAATATTCCCAAGAGGCAAAACCTCTAAAAGAGGAGAAGCTGTTTGAAAATAAGAAAGAATCTGTGGAAAAGGAATCATTAAATGATAAACCACAAAACGTGACCTCCTTGGGCCATGAACACAAATCCCAGATGCTTAGCTCAGGAGAGGAAGATGAAAGCGAAACTGAGGATGGTGTTTACTCAAGCATAAAAGCACCACAGGGCAAGTTAGATTCCATGTCAGCAAGCCAAGGAAAAAAGGATGTTTCATTCTCAGAGACAGATGACCAAAACGTTTCTAAAGACAGCGATAAAAGTGTCCACTTCAACTTGTATTCATTTCCTGAGGGTGAGAAAGGCCTCAGAGGGGAAATTGAGAGGGTGGTTAGGCAAGATACACCATATGTTGGGAAAAGCTTTACATACTCTGATGTATATGACAGTAAATCAAGTTCAGTAGATTCCTACTCTCCAAATCTACCAGTGGAGCACACTTTTGATGATACTGATGTTACTCCAAAGAAAACAGAACAAGAGGATTCCCTAGATTCTTCCACTGTCAAATTTTCTGATCCTAAAGCAACAGATGAAAAACAAACATCAGATTCATATAGTAAAACGCAAAGTACATACATGACACCACAGTTTAGGGATTCATCTGAAGCAACATTCTCTGAGAAAATAAATAAAACTGAAGAAAGGACATTTGAGAAAACCTCACCTATTTCAGCAGAGAAAGACCCATTGTCAGTTCAATTTGAAAAGCCTGATTTTACTGGTATGACGGAGGTTAGTGCATCACAGTCCACCCATTATGAAGCTGACAGGTTAATCTCTGATTACAGTGCTAAAAGTACAAGCTGTAGTTTAGGCCAATCTACATTTGGCACAAAAGAAGTAATGGCTGGAGACATGAAGATGTTTGCTGATGGAGAGGATGAAGACGAAGATGAAGAAGAAGATGAAGATGACGAGGATGAGGAGTATGGAGAGCATGCAAGTGATAGTGATACAGAGAAAGGTGCCAAAGAGAAAGATGCTGAATACCCAATGAAAAAAGTAATCAGTCCCGTACCAACTCAGTTCCAGGATGAAAAGAAAGACACCGTTACACACGACAACACTAGGAGCTTAGGCTCAGAGGATTATGGGAAATCTTTAGGTTCGTCAACATTTGACACTCAAAGCAAAGGTGCTGCCTCATCTTATCCTGTTGAAAGTCATATTAAATGCTTTTCTGGATTTGAACATTCTTCAAGTGAGGAGAAAGATGAGTTTGTAGAAAATCATGACAAAGTTGTCAAGTCATATTTACCCTTGTCAACGAAGACTGCTGAAGATAAATGCTCTCACTATGATGACAAAGATCTTGAGTTTGACAAGCAACAGACATCAGATGCAGTAGAGAAAAAAACAGGGGACCCTGTATCATTGGGCTTGGGTTACACAACTATGTCAGCCACAGCCTACTCTTCTTCCTCTTCTTACAGCCATTCTTCATCTGCTTCAGCATCTCTGTCCACTAGCCGCCAATTTGGGGATGAGTTAGAGGCTCAAGCCTGTACTGGATTCGATTACTCATCTTTCAAAGATGAACATTCACCAGTGAATGATTCACCCTTCTCTAGTTCCAGCGGTCAGGCTAAGGATGGATATTTAGAAGTATCAGAAAAGCTGACCCCTGCAACAACTACCGCTGAATCAACATCTAGCCTTGCAAGATTCTCACCACTGTCACCCTTTGAGGAGATCAAGCCTTTCCCTCCTCATGCAGGTACTTGTGTAGTTGACAAGAAAGAATCCACTTACACTGGAAGCAATATCTCAGATCAGGGACTACAAAGTCAGTGCTTTTACAAGCCAGAGTGGGATGAGGACTCAAGACTACAAGCTGAATTAGGTGCAACTGGACCTTTCTCCTCAGTTCCTCCGGCCACACAGAAAGACACCTTGCCCAGAGATCTATGTGGTGCTTCATCAACACTTGAATTTGAAAAACAGTACTATGAAGAGACTGAGAGTAGTGAAGAGGAGGATGATTATATGTATGAAACTGAACAGGATAAACTTCAGTACCAAAGATCTCCAGTTACAGCTCAAGCAGACAAGAAAGATGACACTTTTTCCTTAAGCGAGACACTATCAAAAGACATATCTTCTAGTTTGGGAGGTGCTATTTCAAACATGCATACCTCATATTCTCTTTCATTCCCAGAACCCACAAAACCAGACACAACAAATGGGCCTGCAGAAGTTAGCCTGACTGCAGCAGAAGCTTTTGGTGGAGCCTGCAAGGTGGAAACAAACTTGTCAAAAGTAGAGATGAAAGGCCAAGAATTTGACATAAAGAAAATTAGGAGCCCAAGTGAATGGCAAATGCAGCAGCCACGAGACATATATCCAGGGGCGTCCCCACCCCATTATCGACATGAGGATGAATATGATGAAGAAGAAGAGACAGAGCCAGAACACCCTGCCCGCCCTCTCTCTCTCTCATCCACAGAGAAACCTTTCCAATCCTCTTATTACACAGACGATCCAAACAAACACGATGATGACTCTGACTATCCTTCAAATGTTGGTGTCCGTCCACATTCATCAACTGCTTCCCCAGGCTATTCCGCCTGTGAGAACAAGCAGAGGAGAGGAGACACATCTCCATCTTTTATAAACCCAAGCTTATGTCAACTTTCAAGCGATGAAGAAAATGAGGAACAAACAAGCCAAGCATCAGATCAACAGCAACCGGTGGGGAAGACAAGGTTCCACAAACAGCCTCAAGACTACTCTCACAGTCATCATTGCGAGGACAATGAATTGCAACACTTCTCCGGAGCCATGGCTGCTGGAATTAGTGCCAGTGGGGAGGACACCCCTCCAACCTCTATCAGTGAGCCATTGCATTCACAGTCAGATTCAGATGTTCCACCAGGTACAGAGGAGTGCCCATCGATCACAGCAAAAGGAAATGACTCTGATGATGATGCAGATTACCTGCCTGTAGATAAATCATCTGGAGCTTATGGGGGGAAGCATTACTTATCTAGATCACCTGACAAAAATCATGATCCCTTACCATCACCATTAATGGACCCTGCTCCTTATCCTCCTCACCCTGATGCATGTATGGTTGATCCTGAAGCTCTGTCAAGCTTAACAGACAAACCAATCAAGAAAGATACAAAAGCAAAGGGTTTACGTAAATTAGGTAAAACAAAGTCCTCATCTCCAGCGAGGAAGGCTGATGCTAGGCGGAAGCGCTCCCCATCAAAGGAGCCCTTTGCCCACACCACCTCTCTTAGAAAAAAGGACATGGAGGATGATCTGTCAAGGTCAAGCCACAACACTGGCAAAGGCCTTGTCAATGGCCTGAAGAATACCGCAGGTATAAACATAAACTTTTGAATATGCAAATCATGAGCAGTTCACCAACATAAAGCTGATGCCAAGTTTGTGCTCATTTTTATTGTTTTTAACAGGTTCAAATTCTTCAAAATTCAGCACAGCGGTGCCCCCTGGTCCTCCTATCTATGTGGATCTGGCCTACATTCCCAACCACTGCAGCGCTAAAAATGTGGACCAGGAGTTTTTCAAACGTGTTCGCTCGGCATATTATGTAGTGAGTGGAAATGACTCTAGCAACGGAGAACCGAGTCGTAGTGTACTAGATGCCTTGCTAGAGGGAAAGGCACAGTGGGGATCCAATTTACAGGTAACATTCGTTAAATGCTTCTTTGTAGTTTGCTAATTAATATGCTGAATATTTTCTGGATGCTGTGCATATAAAGATTGCAGTTAATTTGTTTTATTTGTTTTCAGCTTAAGAGAATAATTAAAAGCATTCTAAAGTCATAGGCAGAAACTGTCATTCTATTAATGTCTTATATTCGTTTTATAGGTAACATTGATACCTACACATGACACAGAAGTGACCCGCGAGTGGTATCAGCAGACCCATGAGAAGCAACAGGAGCTGAACATCATGGTCCTGGCCAGCAGCAGCACAGTTGTAATGCAGGACGAGTCATTCCCAGCCTGCAAAATAGAGTTCTAAATTCAACATGGCTCCCAGGTCCACATTTTTACTCTCAAATGGTCCGTTACAGCCTTAATAGTTTACTCAGTGTATAATTAACCTGTTTTTGCTTTTGAATTTCCCAAGGTTTAAAACAGCACATGTTGTCTATTGCCCAAGACACCCAATCAAATGATAGAAACTTTATTATTTCCTGATGATGAGATTTATTCGAGTGCAGGAAAACAGAAGGATGATGTGCCTTTCAATGTATACTTTTCAGGGTGGCTTTTTCCCTTTACATTGTACAATACCTAAATGGAGAACAAAATTCTTGACCCTTAGAGTTTAGACCAGGGCCTGTTTAAACCAGTTTTCACAATCACATTCTCAGTAGTAGTTTTATACTGAACAAGGTAACCAAACAAGTGTGCTAAACAAATTAACAAAATTGAAATATAACCTTATTTACAATGCTATTTAAATAAGCACAAGTATACCTCTTGACTTTTTTTGAACAAAAGCACCAGAAAGTTCCCTATTACTGCAGATTGACTGGATGAGGTTCTATTGCTTTTAGCCGATTCTTCCAGGTGTCATTCCAATCTTAATGAACCTGTTGCTTTGAGGCCCTGATATACACAACATGGCGTCATCCTCCACCACTGCACACGTTTTATTCAAGAAATATAAATTAATACCAATTCAAATCTTTTCTAACCCATCAAAGCTATTTATTACTCACTGTGTAAATTGCAATTGAGGCTATATACCTCAGTAGAGAGATTAAAGGGACAGCACACCATTGTCTCTCTTTTATGTGGTACTAGATTTATTTTTCTGTTGAACACAAAGGAAGATATTTTGAAAAATGTTGGAAACTGGCAAGAATAGAAGGGAAAATACTTTGTAATATGATTTCATTCATTCATTTTCTTTTCGGCTTAGTCCCCTTATTATTCTGGGGTCACCACAGCGGAATGAACTGCCAACTTATCCAGCATATGTTTTACACAGCGGATGCCCTTCCAGCTGCAACCCATCACTAGGAAAAACCCATACAATCTCATTCACACACGTACACTATGGACAATTTAACCTATAACCTAAAATTCATCTATAGCGCATGTTTTTGGACACACTGTTATGTTTTTCTCCACACAGTTATGGCAACTGACCCAGCCGGGACTCGAACCAGCAACCTTCTTGCTGTGCGGCGATTGTGCTATCCACTACGACACTGACACTGAATATGATTTTAACATTCTTCAAAATATCTTAATTGGTGTTCAACAGAATAAAGAATCTAAAACAGGTTTGTGTCAAGTAGAGGGTGAGTAAATTATAACAGCATTAAAATTTTGGGGCAAACTATCCTATTAACAAATGCCCAGGTGCTAGTATTTTAGAAATAATTGGACGAATATATTAAAAATATTACAAGTTAAAAAAACGGAAATATTATAGACTTGTGTGGCAGCTTGCACAAAATGACGTTACATTCCTGACTCAGAGAGTAATGTGTTCAATCAACAACAGCAACATTAATGTGATACTGATACTAGATCAGGACTAAATGATCTTGATCTTCGAAAAATACAACTGAATAGAGAGTCTAGTCTTTAACACTAAATGAAAGAGTGTACATGTATGGAAATCAAATCTTATTTTGTTGTTAAATGATGTATAAAGTGTACGTTCACAGAGTTTTACTTATTTTTAGTGTTGAAGTTCAGAAGTATGTTTTATTATGAGCTTATTAGGGTTTCTTTCTATTCATTAGGACATTGTAATGATTTCTAGTTATAAAATGTACAGTATATACTGAAGACATAGTTGCTTATTTAAAGGGATGGAAAGAAGGGATGACTGATATGTAAGCCAAAGTTGCAAGCAATAGAAGTGCATGGTATTCAATGAATACACTATGTGTGAAAGGGTTTTAAGCTTATGAAAGATGTGAGTTATGAGCACTGCACTTAGCCTGTTCCGATATATATATATATATATATATATATATATATATATATATATATATATATATATATATATATATATATATATATATATATATATATAGTGTTTTAAACCTATTGAGGCTTTAATATGAGGATTGACATCTAACAAAAAGGTTTTTCCAATTAATCAACAATGAGGATACATTTAAAAATACTAATTCTTATAAAAGGAACACTCATAGTATGACTTTACAACTCACCTGGGGGTAAACAGTTGAGTTGTACCATTTTTGAATCTATTCAGTCGATCTCTTGGTCTGTCGTTAGCACTTTTAGCTTAGCTTAGCATAGATCATTGCATCGGATTAGACAATAAGCATTGTTAAATAATCTTCCTTATTATAATTGGCTCTTCTTTAGTTTTGTAGATTTACTGTGTAATATTATTGTACCTGCAGCAGCTATGGTATGACAACATAGTACCTTGATTATTCCACAGGAATTGCATCATAGGCTAGTTCATATCTGCTTGTTAAGTCGTGACATATGGAACACTGTTTTTCAGGTCCAAGCCGCTACTCATTTGAGTTGAGAAAATATTCGTTTATGGCCACTTTTTAGTACCATCACACAATAAAGTGAATTCTATCTAAAATCATGGTGTACACATCAGTCCCTACACTTGCTGCATCACAAATATCAAAATTTGACCAATTTATAAAAAATGAATCACTTTCTGGCCATCAGATATTAGGCATGGACACACAAATATATATATATATATATATATATATATATATATATATATATATATATATATATATATATATATATTGCAATCGCAATTTTCAAAAGTTTTACATCGCTTTGTAATGTTTATTATTACCATTTGATGAGTCTCCCCATACAGTTTGATAGAACACTGAGGCCCGGAAGCCGCTTTGCCTAATGTCACACTTAAGAAGCGGATACATATCGACGTAAAAAAAAGCAACATTTCATCTTCTGTCAGTCTTAGTACATGATGCTACTACAGAAAAGCCAAGCTTTGAATAGGAAAAATTATCTAATCTCTTTTTTTGCAAATTCTAAACAAGATCTTATTCAACTTCAATGATTTATGCTAAGCTAAATAGCCAACAGACTCAGAGTTTAGCTGAATAGTTATAGAAAAAGAATAAAACTCAACTGTAATGTAATGAGCAACTGTTCATTTAAAACAGAGTTTTCCTTTGAAAGACATGAGGAAAGATTGCATAGTTTCTTTAAATGTCTCATTAGACATTGCGGATAGGTCTTACTATATGATAAATGCTAGCGCTGGTTTAGGCTCTTGTCTCAGAGCAGGTTGAGCGATGAAAAGCAAACTCTGTACAAGTACTGTATGCACTGCATGTAAATGATCCTGAGGTAAGAACTGAACATGCATTTGAATACTGTTATGCTTTTAGGTGCTTGGCTCAATTAATGTCGTCTTTATTAATGAAGGAAGGTTTTAAAGGAAAATAAAGTGTTTTCCTGATCCATTTGAGTCCGAATTTAATCTTCATGCTTTTCAGTTTTTACAGTTCTGATGTTCATTGTCCCAGTCTAAAATATTTGATTGTTGACTTGCACAGTTTTGATACTCAAAATGACAGAACATACTGTATGGTTGAGCATAATCCCTCATAACTTTCTCTGAGTCACAATATTCAAGAATCCGCATTTAATGCTTGCCTCTAATGTTTTTTAAGGTGCTGTAACTTTTGAGCTTCTGGTTATTTGGCTGTGCCGCCTGACATGGTGAACCCAGATGTGACTTCGCAGTACCACAGAAATAAACAAACACATACAAGTTCCAGACTGCAGACTGCCAGATCAAGTGACTAGATCACTGATCACATTTTATATTCAAGATTTGTAAGTGTCCGGATGATTCTTTTCTTTCTTTCTATATGTTTGAAAAAGAAATAAACTAGTCATGATGTGCTGTGCAAAACATCCTTTAGTTGCAATGTTGAGTTTGCCATCTCAATAGCATCAACACTTTTGAAATATAGCATTCCATTGAGCCTAGCTGTTTATTGCATGTGACCTTGAGTTTGAACTTGTATGTAATAGTTCATAGTTATATGAAATAAAGTACTATTTTAAACATATTTAAATGATAAACGTCTCAACTGTACTGACAAGGCACATATAACCAGGCCGCGCTATCATTTCTAGCGTGCAGTGTTGTTAAAAAATATTTATGTGTACTTTTCATTTTTTTTTCCATTACCTTTGCTTTCAGTTCTCTTTTTTATGTGCAATACTCTGTATCTTTCTTTAAACTCTCTAAATGAGTGTCTACAAATATGTTGTAGAAAGGTAAAGCTGATAAACGCTAATAAATTATGCTAATGGAAAATATCAATGGAGTTTTGCCTGTTCTTGTGTCAGCTGCCATGGAATCATGGAATATCTTTCATTTATATATGGGCTAACAGTTCAGAATCTTGAATTCACTTTTACTTTTTTACATTTTATTCATATAAATGAAAAAATAATCTTCTAACGACACTCAATTCTGTCAAATTATATCTTGTTTATTTGTTGTTTTTTTCTATTGTCCATATTTGTAAGTGATAAATGTGTCTGCCAAGGCAAAATTTCAAAATGTTAACAGTAATGTAAAGTACTAATGTCAAATATGAAGACAATACTTGACAAAATAAGTTTGTTTTATAGCATTTATATCTAAACCCACCGTCCAATGTATTAGGTACACCTTACTTGTACCGGGTTGGACCCACTTTTGCCTCCAGAACTGCCTTAATCTTTCATGGCATAGATTCAACAAGGTACTGGAAATATTCCTCAGAGATTGTTTATCCATATTGACATGATAACATCACACAGTTGCTGCAGATTTGTGAATCTCCTGTTACACCACATCCCAAGGCTCCTCTATTGGATTGAGATCTGGTGACTGTGGAGGCCATTTGAAAACAGTGAACTCATTGTCATTTTCAAGAAACCAGTCTGAGATGATTCACGCATTATGACATGGTGTGTTATCCTGCTGAAAGTAGCCATCAGAAGATGGGTACACTGTGGTCATAAAGGGATGTACATGGTCAGCAACAATACTCAGGTTGGCTGTGGCAATGATAAGATGCTCAATTGGTACTAATGGACGCAAAGTGTGCCAAGAAAATATCTCCCACAACATTTAACAATCACCACCTGCCTGAATCGTTGATGCATGGCAGGATGGATCCATGCTTTCATGGTGTTGATGCCAAATTCTGACCCTACCATCTGAATGTCGGAGCAGAAATTGAGTAATTAGACCAGACAATGTTTTTCCACTCTGCTATTGTCCAATTTTGGTGAGCCTGTGTGAATTGTAGCCTCAATTTTCTGTTTTTACCTGACAGGAGTGGCACCCGGTGTGGTCTTCTGCTGCTGTAGCCCATCCGCCTCAAGGTTGGGTGTTGTGCATTCAGAGATGCTCTTCTACATATCTTTGTTTGAACGAGTGTTATTATGGTGGCTTGAAAATCCAACATACTGTTATCTATCGTAAACTTATTATTCTTCCGTCTTCTTTTTCTTCTTCTTCTGAGACTAATTTTAAAGTGTCTCTCCTCTTAAGCCTTTCAAGCTACATACTTTAAACTTTCGTCAAACCTTCAAACTGGTCTGACTCGGGTTGCAATATCTTTTCTAACTGATCTGACTTTGGTTTTTCCGAAAAAAAAGACCCATTGACTTAACATTGGGTCAAACTTTGTGAGCTCATAACTCTGCATCAGACTGCCCTACAGAATAGAGTCTGGCCTCATTCAACTCAGTCTAGCCAGCAGCCAATCACTGATGATCTTTAGACTTACTAACCACTCCCTAGCAACCAATTTTAACACCCTAGCAACTTTCCCATTAACTGTGACTAGCTATTCTAACACATGCTAATTGTTTTAACATCCTACTGACATGCTAATTTAGCTAGAAACATGCTAGCAACACGCTAGTCATGCTAACAACATGCTAATTCATCATGGAAACAGGCTGATCCATGCTAGAATCATGATAGTAACACGATAGAATCATGCTAACAACATGCTAATTCATGCTAGAAACATGATAGTAACATGTTAATTCATGATATAATCATGCTAACAACATGCAATTCATGCTAGATTCATAATAGTAACATGCTAATTCATGCTATAAACATGTTGGTAATATGCTAATTCATGCTAGAATCATGCTAGTAGCATGCTAATTCATGCTAGTTACATGCTAATTCATAATAGAATCATGCTAGTTATATGCTGATTCATGCTACAAACATGCTAGTAGCATGCTAATTCATGCTAGAAACATGCTAGTAACATGCTAATTCATGCTAGAATCATGCTGATTCATGCTCGAATCGTGCCAATTCATGCTATAATCATGCTAACAACATGCTGATTTATGCTAGAAATATGCTAGTAACATGCTAAATCATGTTAGAATCATGCTAATAACATGCTGATTCATGCTCGAATCATGCTAATTCATGCTATAATCATGCTAACAACATGCTAATTTATGCTAGAAACACGTAACATGCTAAATCATGCTAGAATCATGCTAGTTTCATGCTAATTCATGCTAGTATCATACTTGCAACATGCTAATTCAAGCTAGAACAATGCTAGCAACATGCTAATTCATGCTAAAATCATGCTAGTTACATGCTAATTCATGCTAAAATCATGCTAGTTACATGCTAATTTATGCTAGAACCATGCTAATTTATGTTAGCAACTGCCTCAACTCAGAATACTTTAGCAACCCCCTAGCAACACCTTAACAACTGCCTAGCAACACCTTAGCAACAACCTAGCAACGCCTTAGCAACCACCTAGCAACACCTTAGCAATGACCTATAATACCATAGAAACCACTAAGCAACACCTTGGCAACAACCTAGCAACACCTTAGCAAGCACTCAAAACACACTAGCAACCACCTAGCAACACCTTAGCAACCACCAAGCAACACCTTAGACAGCACTCAGAGCACCCTAGCAACCGCCTACCAAAAAACATGCCAATCTATACTAGAAGCATGCTAACATGTACTTAAATATTCAGACTGTTTCAAACTTCATAAAAACTACTTTAGTTATGTACACTTTAAAACAAATCAAACTTTCAGACTCTGCTTTTTTAAGCCACCATAAAGTTTGCCCTTAAACTTTTATATCTAGTTTGAGTTACTGTTGCCTTTTTGTCAGCTGGCACCAGTCTGGCCATTCTCCTCTGGCATCAACAAGGAATTTGCACCCACAGAACTGCCGCTCACTGGATATCTTCTCTTTTTCAGACCATTCTCTGTAAACCCTAGACATGGTTTTGCGGGAAAATCCCAGTAGATCAGCAGTTGCTGAAATACTCATACCAGCCCATCTGGCACCAACAATCATGTCACGTTCAAAGTCACTTAAACCTTCTATCTTCCCAATTCTGATGTTTGAACTGCAGCAGATAGTCTTGACCATGTCTACATGCCTAAATGCATTGAGTTGCTGTATGTATATATATATATATGAATATTGTCTCCACAATCTAAAGGAAGTTATTCAATATTATATTAATTTGGATTTCAGTCCTAAAGAGCCTGAATAATATTAAAACACAGTTTACACTATACTGATATAATAAATATGAGATGAGTGTATGCCAGCGTTGAGCTCTGGCAGGTGGCAGCCGCTACTGAAAAATCAAGCTCAATTCACATACCGATGACATCACCGTCTGGGTCACATGTCTATTAATGCTGGCACCCATCTTTTCTTCCCCACCCTGTCTGTTTCTGAGAGAAAAGCCATAGAAATGAACAATGGGCTTGTGTTGAAGAAAACAGATCGCAGTGCTTGGCAGAGCGATGGGCAATGAGGACAATGACCCACTGTTTCTAATCACATGCAAATACATACAATTTGGATTAAGTAGTTGAATGAGATGCATTAATAACTATGATGATTGTTTACGCTGTGTTGTTGAAGATGTGTTTTTTGGTGCAGCTGCCATTAACAGAATGAAAACCCTCAGGTGATAAATGATAAAAAAAAACTGTTGTCATGCCAACAAGTAAGAGGATGAATAACATGCTTAAGATAATGATGCTTCAACAAGTATACACTTACAGACACTGAGAATACAGTAATATTAAAATGCAAATTACACAATTATTTAAAAAAAATTATACAATTATTTTTGAGTAATGAAATACCGGATGAGGTTTCAAAATATGATTATGAAAATCCATTTTTGCTTTTGTTTTTTATTCAGAGCGGTAATTATTGTTTTTATCAGTAGTACCTTTGTCTATCTATATAGCCGACAAGAAAATACATGAATGAGAATTCGGACAGAATTCAGTCGGTGGACAGATCGGGAAGTGAACAGTGGAGTGAACTCCAAAAATCCTCTAGAGGTGGAACAGACTGGTGGACGAAGAGGCTCACAAGGGGAACAGACTCTGGTAGAGAAGAGGTTCAAGGGGGGAACAGACTCTGGTAGAGAAGAGGTTCAAGGGGGGAACAGACTCTGGTAGAGAAGAGGTTCAAGGGGGGAACAGACTCTGGTAGAGAAGAGGTTCAAAGGGGGAACAGACTCTGGTGAAGGAGGAAGTTCAAGGGGAACAGACTCTGATGGAGAAAGAGGCTCAGGGGGAAACAGACTCTGGTGGGGGAAGAGGTTTAACAGAGAAACAGGTTCTGGTGGAGGAAGAGGTTCAAGGGGTGAAACAGACTCTGGTGGAGGAAGAGGTTCAAGGGGTGGGAAGAACTCTGGTGAAGAAAAAGGTTCTAGGGGAACAGACTCTGGTAGAGGAAGGGGTTCAAGGGGCATAACAGATTCTGGTGAAGGAAGAGGTTCAAAGAGGAACAACCTGGTAAAAAAAGAGGCTCAAGAGGGAAACAGACTCTGATGGAGGAAGAATTTCAAGGTGAAACAGGCTCTAGTGGAGGAAGAGTTTCAAGGAGTGGAACAGACTCTGGTGGAGGAAGAGGCTCAGGGGAAAACAGACTCTAGTGGTGGAAGAGATTTAACAGAGAAATAGGTTCTGGTGGAGAAAGAGGTTCAAGAGGTGGAATAGATTCTGGTGTAGAGGTCTGCATTCCTGTGGCTGTAACTGGTGTAATTTTGGATGGGAGTGGGCGGTCTAACAATAACGGTCTTGACTCCCGAGCGAGCGAGCATGCGTATGTATATGTGTGAATGAGACAGCGTGATTCTGTGTTTAAGTTGTTTGTTGCTGGCTGTAGTGGTGGAGAAGATTCTGGTGAAGGATTATGAGTCACACGCAGGACAAGCAGCAAAATAACAGAAATTCAATTATTGTTCAAAAACAAGATGGGTCCTATCATACATTTGCACACTTAACCAGACTCAAGTGTTTTTTTTTTTTTGCTAGTTTCAGTCCAGCACATGTATCATTTTCATGTCTTGAGCGACATTGTTTAAACAGCCAGTGCTATTATAATTAATAGTTACTTCAAATAAAAGCTATTATAAATAGCCAATTTGTGAGCTCATGGGTGTGATGGTCTGAAAAGTGTGTTAATGCAAATTGTTTACATGTTGCTGGAATAGACAGTACTGTTGATCAACTAAAAGATGGTATACAGTATAATGTCTTTTTTGATGTTGTGATTTAATGATGAGTGTATTAATAATAGGCAGGTCCAAAACACATGTACACGTTGCTTATTACACACACAGGGACGCACAGCAGCAAATACTTACTCCTGTACTTTCATCTTGGGGCTTTGGTGCAATCCGGCTCATTCCACAGACGGTCTGCTCGTGTATGAGGCAAAATCCGTTTCCTTACAAGTGAAGTGTTCAGTTTTTGTGCAAACACAGATTTTATTGAGATAGTAGCTGTGCTTTTGAAATGTTGAAAAACAGCGCAGATTCGTTCGGCATTGGTATGATTCCACTAGATCCTGATTTCAGAGGTGCACCCAGCTCTATGAGTTCATGAACTCTCCCAGAAACTACACTTGGATGATGAAGACTTTTAGTCGTGCTTCAGACTAAGCCGAGCCCAAATTGATGAGCTGTTGTCCGGTGTCGGCAAGAGGATTTTCCCTCGTGACACACAAGAGCAAGCTCCAGATTGGTTAACGCAGCGTGAATGTCTGCTAAAGTTCAGATTTTCCAACTCAAGCGCTTCGCATGATTCGCCCGCTAAACGCATCACACACTCAACTTTACGCAAATGAAGCAGCACGAGTTGAGTGTTTGATGCGCTTAACGGAAAATCTGAACCGCGCTGCAGGATGTGTAAATTACTTGCGTGACTAGTGTAACAGGCTAAATCAAAATACCTTATAAATTTAACCTATACTGTCAGACTATGTTTGTTTTCATGGCTTTAATATTATCAATGTTTACTTTGACAACTTTGGGTAGAATGTAAAAAAGTGAAACATACAATTTACCGTAATCCAAATATAAAGGCATAGAAAATACTGAAACGTACACAACCATAACCCACATAACCATCACAACCCACAGATACAGTGTTCAGCATATACGAGTACACCCCTCACAGACCTCTCTTTTAAATGAATATTTTCTATAGGATACTCTACAATAAGATATTTGTGCACATACTATAGATTAGTCAATGCCAAAGGCAAAACTGCAACTAATCCAACAAAAAAACTTAAAATGAGTACACCCAAATGAATCTGTTGGAGAAAAATATTAAATCAGATGTAATACCTGTATAACTTGTTTGAATTGAAATGTATTATCTTTCTATTCCTAAAGATGTTCGGTGACCAAACTCTTATTTTAATGGATATAACTGTTAAATAAAACTGTTTTGTTTGAATGCACCAAATCTTTGGGCTATATTCACTGAGAAATTCAAAAAAATATATATTTTAAAAATGGGGTGTACTTCTTTAACAGTACAGGACTGACCGAGACAGAACCCTGCTAGATTCACAAAAAAAGACAATCATTTTCTGCAGACAATGCCACTTTTATTTAAAACACTGTAAATCAAAGTGCCATTTAATACTACTGCACAGACAGCATACAGCACCAACAGTACGATAAATCTGAGTCGAATCCATCAGAGGCAGATGCTTTAATATGTCAGTGATTACAGTTGTCAAGTGGGTTGAATGTGCTTTACTGTACTCCAAGCGGAGTGGAATAATTCACAGACACTGCTGGAGTAGGGAAGTGAAATGATCATCTCTAGATTCTAGAGGTTTAACAAGCTGGTCCTACATCAGTCAGAGTCAGTTCATTTTACACACACACTTTCTGCATGCTCGGTAAACAACGGGTTTACATAACTGTTTTTTTTTCCTGAACAGATTTAGATCAACCATATAACATTAAAGTATATCTTTCTGAAAAGCAGCATCTTTTTACTATACACTAAATCAGAAATAAGACCAAATGTCTGGTGGTCTGATAATCTCACCGCGTTTGATCAAACAGGAGGGTCACGGTACAAAAGAGTACTTCATTGTCCAAAATGTGAGTGGTAAAAGGCAGGAGAAATGTACTTAAAATGAAGCCCACTGCTTATTTTCCTGTGACAGCGCTGTATGTTTTACAAAAATAAAAACTAAAATATAAAAAAAAGAGACTTACTTATTTGCAGTCTCATTGTTAAAAGTAAGCTGCATATTAGTCAATAAATATATTTATATTTAGACTACATTTATGTATTTTATAATGATTTAATAAATTATGACAGTGGTATAGCAAGCTTTGGCAAATAGTAATGAAATGTTCAAGGAATAATTCTCTCTGAAATAAAAAGAACTCGTATCAGTCCAACCCATAATATGTTTGTTTCTCTTTAAAACATTTTCTTCTGAAACTTTTAAAGATTTCTATCCCTTCACTGGAAGTACATTTTTCCAAAAATAAGAGGCCTTCGAAAAACAGGTTATCACTTTCTATGATTAACAAGTTTAATCAACATGGCTCATTCTGAAAACATAACCCTATTGTTTATACATTATTGTAGCCAGAGAATTATGTAGCAAGAAGTATGAATGGCTGCATTTGGTCTTTAAAGCCGCCTTTCCACTGCACATGACAAACAACTAGCGACAGACCGGAAGTCATTCATTTACAATGAAGAGTACTCTGGGAGCTGCGTGGAGTTCTGATCATCTCTGTGTGTGGAAAATTCTAGACCATATGTGATCAGCTGACTGGATTTGATGTATTCCAGTGTTACGGGGCGGTATGATGCTGTTCCTTTTCGCGCTTACCACAATATGGACTGTTTTTCCAATGTTACCAGCTTGTCCAGTGGCTCGTCGTATAGGTCGGAGGATTTGAGACACAGATCGGATTTGACTGTGACGACGGGGTTCTAGGATAGTGAAGAACGATTCCAGAAAGCAGGTTAGACAAAAACAAAAACCAAAAAATAAAAAAACAAGTAAATAACATGGTGACAACTTGGTAAAATCTGAAAACGTGTTAAAAGTCAGGCTGCCGCCAGGGCTTTTTTTTCTGGATTGCTTTTTAAAAAATTCGGTTCGGTTTAGGGAATTTGGTGGGCGGGTGAATCTGTGCTTTTGAAAACACTATTGGTTGCGTTTAGAGAAGCGGGTGGCTGGGTATATTGGTCAATCAGTCTGTTGACATCGACCTCTGGTGGATTTATGTGAGAACAGCAGGCGTGAAAGGCACTTGTGAGCGAAATTTAATATCTCAAAAAGCGTGCACAGCAGCCTCTGGTGGATTTGCAAAAACAAAAACAGCCAAAAAAAAAATCTCCTAGGACATATTTGACGCACTTCAGAAATATATGTAGGGGTATGCAATCAGAATGAGCCTGGGTTAAGTTTAATCTTAGCCTTTCCTCATTTATAAATGCTGATCAAAACATTGTAGCTGAAACTTGTTTGCATGACATGTAAGAATCTTTTGAGATTCTTCAGCAAGAACCATCCAGAACTGTTATCTGCTGTCAAACAAGTGTGTTTTTATTTGCTCTACACCCAAATCCACATTTCCATCTTAAACTACCCATTTAAAACGAGCAGAAACAATAAAATTCTTGATGTTATTTTGGGATAACCTAACAGTTTTATGTTTAATCCACTTAAATTTGTAAAAACTAATAAATTAACTTAATTCCTACCTGTTGCCCCAACATAAATCGATTGTGTGGAACCGAGCATGTTTTACAGCATAGGTCTCAAATTCAATTCCTGGAATGCTGCAGCTTTACACAGTTTTGCACCAACTCTAATCAAACACAGCTGATCTAGTGGTGTCTAGCAGTCTTGAACACCTTGATTACTTGGATCAGCTGTGTTTGATTAGTGTTGGAGCAAAACTGCGCAGAGCTGTGGAATTGAGGAATCCAGGAATTGAGTTTGAGACCCATGTTTTACAGTGTATGTTGACATTCGTTTTTTTTTTTTTTTACCTTTTTTTGTGAAATATACTTTCAATTGAGAGACAGAAAGTTCTTAGAACACACTAAAAATAAATTCATCTGTGTTCAGAAGATGAGCAAAAATCTTATCATTTTTAAAACAACAGGACTTATTAAATTTGCCATTTTTTTTTCAACTATCCCTTTCATATGTTTAAGCTAAGATCATTATTCAAGAGTAATTCAGCAAACATTAGCTAGTATCAAATATCATGTCCCTTTGAAAAAAACAATCTTCCAGACCAGCTAATGAAGAAAAAGAAAACATTGTTTGCAGTCATTTGAACATGAGGAAGATAATATGTGCACGTACAAAATATTTCAGTGCATCTAACAGCTTATGTTTGACCACTGGCCATTCAACGAGAGAGATGCATTACACGGGGAGCATCTCTGAATGACGCTACACAATTAAACCATGGAGACTTTATTAAGCTTCTCATCTTCAACAAGTGAGGGCCTCCATTTCCTCAACTTACCATAAAGGGATATTTCACCCCAAAATATCGATTTGTTCATTATTTACTCAACCTGCATCTGTTCACAAGGAAATTTTGAAAAATGGTAGCCATTGACTGCCAAAGTATTGTTTTTCCTACTATGGATGTCAAGAAGTTCTCACATTCTTTAAAATAACTTCTTTTTTGTCTTTAACAGAAACTAATGGTGAGTTGGGTGAACTATACCTTTAAAAATTTAGGCAAATCCCTTGTATGGGACTCAATGAAGGTGTGAGGCACTACAGCGAGAGCATGCTGGGATGGGGTGAAGGGAGCACTGTTTCCTTCAAGGCTCAGGCACGTGTGGAGCTCCCACCTCCAGAGGAGTTCCAGGATGGGGCAGGGATGCCGGGTTCTCCCTCCAAGCGTCAACCGTTTCCTGCGTATCAAAGAACTCATCGGGCTCCTCAGGGCTGAGCGGTGTCTGGGCGCTGGACCCGGTCTCAGAACTGCTTTCTCTGAGCTCCAGGAGAACAGGCAGGGAGCCGGGCAGCCCGCGGAAGGACTCTGGGAGAGGACTGGGTGGACTGGGCTCAGCCGTGTTTGGACTTGACCCTTCATCACAGGAAGGGCTCTCTGTCAGACACTGGCCTGCAGAGTCTGTGCCGTCTGATGTTATCTGACTGGGTCTCTCCATGATGGGAGAGGGTATGGAGCTGTGCGGGTCCTCTGAGGGTATGCTGGGTTCGGATGTCAAAGACACAGTGTGGCAGTTGTTGTTTTGAGGGATCTGGTGGATCTCTTCACTGCTCTGAGGCGTTAGGGTGATCTTCTCACTGAAGCTGAAGCGTGGAGAGGTGTCAGCCGTGGTGGGAGACGAGGGGCCGGCGCTGGACACTGTGCTGGAAGGACCACTGCTGTCTGTACAAACAAAACACACACAAACCATCATTTGGCTGCAAAACACACTACTTTTGTTTGAGTTTTTCCATTTGTGTCATCAAGAGAACTTCCCCAGTCTCACTCCTGTGTTCTCACTATTTTTTTGTATTCATTCATTCAAGTTTATTTGCACTTTTTACAAGAACTGTTGTTTCAAAGCAGCAATAGAAAAGGTGCACATTCTTGCATTACAATCAAATTCAGAAAAGTTAAGGTTATTAGTTACTGTAACTTAAAATTAGTTATTAATAACTTTAACTAATTAACTAATTAATAGCTTTTAACAGTTAAAGTTATTATACAGTGCATCTGAAAAGTATTGATAGCGCTTTACTTTTTCCACATATTTGATGTTACAGCCTTTTTCCAAAATGGAATAAATTCACGTATATCCTCCCCATAATTCCCCATAATGACAATTTACATTTTTTTTTTTTAATTGTTGCAAATTTATTAAAAAAAAAAAAAAATCATATGTACAGAAGCATTCCCAGCCTTTGCCGTGAAGCTCTAAATTGAGCACAGGTACATTTTGTTTCCACTGATCATTCTTTAGATGTTTCAGCAGCTTAATTGGAGTTCACCTGTGGTAAATTCAATTGATTGGACATGATTTGAAAAGGCATACATCTGTCTATGTAAGGTCCCAGGGTTGATAGTGCATGTCAAAGCACAAACCAAGCATGAAGACAAAGGAATTGTCTGTAGACCTCAGAGACAGGATTGTCTAGAGTCTAAAAGCTGGGGAAGGTTACAGAAAAATTCTTAGTCAGGGAGGTGATCAATAAACCAATGGTCACTCTGTCTGAGCTCTAGTGCTCTTCTGAACTAAAATCTTCTATCATCAACTAAAATGTATTTTTATGTAGTTTATCAGAAACTTGACAGCAGTTGACAGCAAGAACAAACATAGAAGCCTTGTCAAACTGACAAGCAGCATCTGAATGTGTTCAAAAGAATTAAAAACGGCAAAATGGGACAAATTTATACTGCATTTTGAACGTAAAACCACTCTAGGTTTAGCTCTGCGTTCTGCTCTGTTATAATGACTGTTTACATTTATATGCTTAACCAGCATTTCATCACAGTACTCTGAAACAATTTCGTTACTTCTCATTTCTATAGTCTATTAGTTTTTATCTCATTTAATATTTAGTAAAACAAGTTTAGCCAAAACAAAAGAAAAAAAAGTGTAGGATATTTTACATGAAGTGAAAGACTTATCTTTAGATATCTTCGATATGTGCACTGTTTACTAAATGTGCACAATACATACATGTAAATATGTAACAAAAAACATATAGAGCTGATTTAATTGTTGTTTGTAAATCACACAACTGTGCTATACAGCATTACTTATAACAACACTGTAATTGTGACAAAATACTGTGTGTTTCATATTTACATTCAATGTGGTTCTTTTCTATCCTACAATACTTTTTGTTGTGTTACTATTTAAGTGTTCTTTTTTGCTCTGACAGTGTACAGTAGCTACATTTTCTATGGTTCTGTTTACTTTGTTATTTGCACAACAGCACAGTAGTGCTGTGTATAGTGTTAAGCAGGGAAAAAAAAACCTGTACTGTATTTATTTATCAAAGATTTTGTGCAGCTGTTTATTTGTAAACAAGGAGGGAAACCCCTTTGTTTGAATTATGTTTTGCTCAAAAAATAATGTTTAATAATGTTTTAATAAAGGCTTTAACTCTCAAGCAACCATTAATGGGAAAATACAGAATATATATTGTATACCGGATATGATATTTTGCCCATATCGCCCAGCCCTAGTTTCATTCTATTCTATTAAAACTGTCACGTATTTAAATATATTTTAATGACAAACCAACAATGGCCTAGATACCGTAATGTGCTGCAATTTAAGAAAACACATGCAATTTAAAAAATGCCAGCAAATTAAAAAAAGATCCTCATTGGTTTGGCAGCATATGTTTTGCAAAACCCACAATGCAAACAAATAAAGAAAAATCATGCAGCATTTTCTCAAAAAGCAAACAAAAATAGAAAACAACTGCATTTTCTTACAACACATGCAAAACATGATGACCCTAAAATGCTTTATGTGTTTGCATTGTGAGGATTTGCAACACCTACACTGTCAAACTGATCCTTTCTTAATTTGCTGGTGTTTTTTTTGTAATTGCATTTCTTAAATTGGAGCATGTTAAGCTCTCTCGGCCGCCATACAAACTTGTTATGATAAAACTGGCATGTTTAAAAACTCTTAAACATTTATAAAGTTAAAATTTGAATATTTTAGCACTTTATATGTCAGCACCATAGACTATAAGGTCAGCACATGTAAAGTGCTAAAATTTACAAACTCTGACAGCAGTTTACAGCATAATAATTTTTCAAAGTATATTTTTGAGTGTAGTTTTGAAACAGTCATAAAAGTAAACTTGCATAGGTGAATGGCTATTTATTTATTTAATATATTATCAGCAAAAATTAGGGCTGCAGAATATTGGAAAAATCTGATATTGCGGTATTTTATTTTTCTGCAATAAATATTGCAATACAGCTTCACAGGATAGATTAAGCGGCATTATTTGACTATTTTAGGGAGACTAACAGTATCTAGGTACAGAGATTGAATAATCACAATGGAATTTCTCTTTTTCTTACTTTGTTTTGTCTTGTTTCTAGTCCAACTATTTAAAAAACATCTAAAAATAAAGAGTGAAATATCAAAAAAAGTTAAAATATTGTTTTGTTTTTACGATCAGAAGAATTCAATTCAATTCATGTTTATTAATATAGCAATTTATAAAGCAGTTTAACATTGAAGTTGTAGTAAATTTAGACCTTCTATGTTAAATAAGTGAAAATTAAGTTTTTCCTTAAAGCAAGCTAAATTATCTGCCAGTGGGGTAAGTAAAATAATCTTGTTTTCGATTGGAAATGTAGATATTTGGACCAGAAATAAGACAATAAATAAATAAATAAATAAATAAATAAATAAATAAGTAAGAAATGTTTTTTTTTTTTTTTTTTTGCATAAATGATATAAACTCCATATAAACACAGTGATTAAATCATATTCTGTGATTCCTGGTCAACTATAATTCAGACACAACAATACATGTCTTTGCGATGTGACTATTTTGGATGCTCACATTGCGATATCGATCCTAAAATGATATATTGTGCAGCCCTAGCTAGCAAGTTTTTTAAAAATATACTGGTAAGATTGCAAGTATAATACAAGTGCTTATATAAGCTACAAGTAACAGTACATCATCCTCTTTATCACCACCTAGTTTTATTTAGTATGTCAGCACTGTAAGTAAACAACTAATCCTTTAAATAAAGAAGATTTAATTTGTATAAATTAAAATGAAATCTTCACAGAGTTTGTAATTGTAACTGATACACTGTGAATTTTCTGAGAGCTCCATCATGCTTCACCTGATTCATTCAGGCATTGATAGTGTTATATATATATGATAGTAAAATGCATAATTCAAAGTCTGAGGATGAAAACAGCACAAAGCAGAAGGTCACACTGTCATCTCTCAAAATGACAGTAATTTTGACTTGGCATGAACACAGCACGACAGAAAAGTTTAATTTTAAGCACAAAGCTTCTAATCCCAAATATAACTCTCTCCTTTACTATCAACCATGATACCTTGCATAATTATATATCAATTCCCAACCTTTATAAAAATGGATGAATTTAGCTTTCATCTGTACAATGATATTTGTAAAGATAACACTTAAAGATCATTTAAACATCTGGTCAATCCAGCATGTGTAATTGAGTGCTGAGAGTTTTGTCCATGTGAAGGCAGCAGTACTCACACCAGGGTGGCCGATCAGAGCGTTGGCGCAGTGAAACAGAGGATGACAGGACTCTGTGTGGGATGTAAGACTCCCCTGTGGGTTGGTTCTGGGAGTCAAACATGGCTGAGAGAGCTACAGAAGAGGATAAAAACACACACAGTTAAAACAATTGTGACCCAAAGTTCACTTAAACGTATACGAGGAGTAATTCACGTTAATCTGTTAATTTATCAGAAAATAATGCACACACATGCTATATAAAAAGTGGAATATTTTCAAAGAACTCATTGGTCTGATGTCAATAAATTTGTTTAGATTGTACTACATTTCAAGACATTTTTCAGATGTCAAGATTTTGTCATTTATGAGAATGCATGTAATTTTCACAACTAGAGGGCATGCATTCACAACAAACAATGTGTCCCTGTTTTCTTTAAACTAGCCTATAAATCAAGTGTGTGGGACTTCACAAGCATGCCCACATAATGACACGGCCTGCATAACTAGGTTAAAATTGCTTATTTCGTATTCCTGAAAATGTAAGTACATAAGTCAGCAAAATGTATAACACTGTTCTAGGGTTTTTTTGGATATTTTAATTAAAAAAAAAAAAAAAAAAAAAAAAAAAAAAAAAAATATATATATATATATATATATATATATATATATATATATATATATATATATATATATTGTATTATGTAAATTGGTTGTGTGTAAGACTAATGTCTTATGAATCTCATCACAAGCCTCCACTGCTAAATACACAGTGCCTTTTAAAACTAGTAATGGAGTCTCTAGCTATGTTTCCATCCAGCACATTTTAGGTTACTGGGCAAAAAGGGCATCGATTCTAGAAATGTGCGTAAACTACTGATGTTGATGTGATTGGATTCCTGGGGCGGACATAAGTCAAATTGTTTATAAAACAAAATTTCAACCAGGTTGTCAATGGCCAATTCAGACTTACAAGAAGGTTTAAGAGCTTCTACAGCATTTGTTTTTGTTCTAAATCATATTTATGGTTTGGGATAGGGACAAGGCTAGAACTATATTTTGGAAAGGAATGTTGTTTCAGATTAACATTTTGCTGATGTACGTACACTGTCAGAAATAAAGGTGCAAAACCCATCAATGGGACGTTACCTTTTCAAAAGGTCCAGATTAGAACCTTAACACCCTAGTTCAGGGTTAGACAAGTTTGGTCCTGAAGAGCCAGAGTCCCTCAGAGTTTGAATCCAGCCTTCAAAAAACTCACCTGTCTGTAACTTTCTAATAACACTTTTTTTTAACAATTATTTTTTCGGGGTTTTCACCTTTTAATGTATAGGACAGTAGAGAGTATTTAACAGGAAAGTGTGGGGAGCATAGGACCCCGAGGCAGGCAGCGAACTCAGGTCGCCGTGGGTACCGAAGTGCCATGTGTCGACGCACAAACCACTACACCATTGGCGCACACATAACACTCAGTCTTTGATTGGCTTTTTTAGATGTTTATGGATAGGGTTTGAGCAAAACTCTGCAGGACTGTGGCTCTCCTGGTATGAACTTGCCTACCCCTATAGTTCTTCATTCTCCTTCAATCAACCATGAACTGTGTTGCACCAGTTACATGTTATTTCTTGGATATGTGCTCTATATCAATATAGAGTATGTCTATGGGCATCACCTCTGGTTGTCCTGGTGTGGGAATCTCCAGCATTCTCACACACAGTCGTCAGGAACTCATTCACTTGTTTGAGTGAGAGTGAGTTGTGTAGGGTCTCAAGAGGGTATATGGAGGGCACCATGGAGCAGCCTTCAAAACCTGTGGATGAGAGAAATGATGAGAGAAGATGAGAGGTGAGATGAGAAGATGATCCAGACATCTCTCAGAAATACCACAGTCATTAAACCACTGAACCAATCCACCAACTGCCAAACCCTTGCTAGTGACAGAACAACAGTCACGGTGGAAAACATTCAGATGTACAGGCATACAAACAACTCTTACCATTCACTCATATCTCTGTATGTACTACATAGAAAATTTAAATCTATGTTCAAACTACAAATAATTACATGGTTTGGTAGTAATGTAGCCAACTTCAAGTCAAACAAAAAACGTGTTAGTTGTTAGTCTCTATACACTTCTTTTAGTTGTAAAAAATCAAACTCAAAGTCCGCGTGAACCAGAAGTTGCTGAGACTTTTTTTCTGTATGTTGATGTACTTCTAACTGAAACTGAATATTGAGTAGGGGGGATGGGACTTTCTTTTTGCACCTCATTCCCCTGTAGCAAACTAATGGTATGGTTTTGAGGTTGAAGCCATTGAACTGATGTCAACAGAGAAGGACCACCAGTCAAAACGCAGAATGGTCAGACTTTGATTAAAGATTAACAAAACTAACATTTTTTTTCAATGGATTAACTTGCACAGATTAATTGTTTACCTAGAGAATAACAATGTGCTTTAGCAAAATAAACATACATTTTGATTTCACACGGACTTTCACACAGACCAATTGACACCGCACAGACAAACACAAACTATCATTTCTGTCAGAGTTTGTTGGATTAGTGTATTACCCCTGTCACCATTGGTCGAAGATTGCTTTCATCCGACTGAACATGGTTAATCTCCATTTGTTGGATTGTGTAACCAGTTATTTTCCAACAATCATTTAATTATTGTACTGGACAATTGTTAGGGCAATCTGAACATGACACCAAATTATTCACAGCTTTCTAAATATTGTACAATGGCCAACTTCTTAGTTGATGTTTGTCTTTGCAGTGTGAATGGGTCTTTAAAGCAGATTAAAGCATGTAAAAACTGCACTTGTGAATCCTACTGTATTTCATGACAATACATCACTTATGATTATTACTAATAAAAATGATCCTGGATTTAGGGAAAAAAACAACAACAACAACAACAACAATAGCATTATAAAAAATTTTTAAGTAATGTAAATCTGGTTAACATAATTATTCTGAGTTTACTAAACTATGAAATTAATAAAAACGTGGAAACTGTCACAATTGAAACAGAAATCTAGTGTTTTTTTCTTTTTTTTTTTCAAACAACAGGAGGATTGTGGCATGCAAATCATATGCCACTATCATGCAAGCCTGTTGAGGTCAGAGAGCTGATGTGACTGTAAGCTGACACAGCTGCAATCAGATGCCACAGCATGCATCTGCCCCACAACACACAGCAGAGAGGTCACTTTTAATTCTTTTTTGCTTTGATATGACTAAAACTGACATCAGAACATATATTTAGTCTGATATGTCCTCTTTCTAAACACATTTGACCTTCTTAAGAGCTAAATTATGAAATCAAATCCATCTGGGGTCTTTACCCAATGCAATGTATGGTCTTTTGTTTGGTGGAAATTAGTTTAGAATTAAAGTCTCAAATACCCTCAATTTGTAAAATACACTGGGAGGGGTAAATATTTGTGTACATGTTAATTAGTTGTATTTTATTATGAGAGGTACTATATGTGCACTACTGTTTGGGGTCAGTGGTATTTTGTTATGTTCTTCAAAAATGTCTCACCAAGGCTGGATGTATCCACAATACACGTTTTCTGATTGAATATATCTAGAAATGAATTTATTCATGTAATGACAAAACTAAAGTTCCAGTCTTTTTTTTTTTTTTTTTTGTAAAACTAAAAGTACAAAAAGGAATATATTTGAAATACAAATCTTCAGTTAAAATCACTGTTTCTTTTGGACAAATTTGGACTAATTTGACTTTTCTTAATTATTAGATCACTTACTAACTTTCATTTAGCTTAGTCCCTGATTAATCAGGCGTCGTCACAGCAGAATGAACCGGCATTAACTCAGGCATGAGTTTTTTATGTGGTGGATTCCCTTCCAAATGCATTTGCCTAATTAATGTATTTTTTTTAAATGACTGCCCCCAGACTTTTGTACAGTAGTGCACATTTTAAAAGCCAAACCTGGGAAATGAATTACAGCTACATTTTAGATTTAGCCTGTTAATTAACTTTAAATGCACTTTGCTAGTAGGCTAAAAAAAGAAAATAATTCAGCTGTTTCACTGCAAGCCGCTCTTTCCAATGACACAACATGCTTCAAACAGCAGAGGCGCTATAGAGCAAAGCTGAGCAGCGGCCATTACTGCAGTCACGGCACAGCAGGGCACGGAGAGACCTCCGCAAGGCTGACCGTAGATGTACTCTAGTGGATCCTGGCCAGAGATTAACCAGTTGCGGAACAGGCGGAGATGATAGGAGCACTGATGGAGGTGGTGGGCAAAAGCACTGTCCAAACAGAACGGGTGGCCAATATTGGGGTCGTTGGAAAAGCGCCTCAGCAGCTGGGCTACCTGGTGCTCTTCCAGAGGTTCTGAGGAAGAAGAGCAGAGCAGGGAAGACAAGAGTGGGGAGCAGGGCTTGGAAAGCAGACGCGTGAGGGCATGGGCTTCTTGTGGGCCATAGTTTTTGGTTTTATCATTCTTAGCATGCTATCAGAAAAACAGCCCACAACAGGTCTGAAAGGGTTTAATAGACATTCCTTCACACCTAAACAAAGACGAGTTAGCCTGAGCGACTGTTTACCAGCAGATAATCCCAAGCAGACACACAGCAGCACTTAAGTCCGTTGTAGTCCACCACCTTCATTCAGATACTGTTCTATGCAGAAGAAGCAGTACCAGCGACTGGGGTCAACAAATTTTGGTTGAGGCACAAGACCACAAAGGATTCAAGGTTTTCGACTAAGTTACACAGACATCTACGTACCCAAACTGACATCTAGAAGAGCTAAACAGATCTACATTTCCTCACACTGTGAGTTCTGGAGCGTGCATATGGACACGGTTTGGTTAGGCCCAGTCGATTGACTCAATCGACCCGTTCCAATTTAAGCTGTGGTGGGATAGAGATCTATCATTACCTGAGAAGGACCACCATAGAGGTTGTTTAATCACCCTGGTAGAAGTGTCATCTTGTGTGCCTAAAGTGAATACAGTACTCAGTGGAGTCAAATATTGAACTCATACGAAATGCAAACACAAAAACTACTTCATTAAAGGTGACATTAGATTAAATTTTTCTTTTTATACATTTTTTGTAGGGTTTGCTGAATGCCCACCAACACTGCATGTTTTGGATATCTCCTTTGTCACACCCATTACAGGTCTCTGCTAATGAGATGATCTGAATCAGGCTGTTTGGTTAAGGAGACAGAAAATGTGCAGAGCTGGTAGTCCTCCAGGAACGTAGTTGAGAAACATTGAATTAGATCATCAGCCTTTATGTGCAGAGGTATGTTTGTCAGTACGGTACTGTGGTTTTTCACCAACCAGTCCAGAGGCTATTGGGCTGAGCCTTTGTTAAATACATCAGTGTCATATACTGTATAGGTATTTGTTTGAATACAGTTTACATTGATAACTGTGAACTGCAATGTCAATCAATGATAAATTACATGCAATGATTATATGTAACCCATATGGCCGGGCACCATCTCACATTTTGCCATCATAATGTGGAAACAGCTTCAAATACTCCTTTTGGTTAAGTTTGATGCTTGATTGAGTGCTGTGTGTTTGCAGCACCAGTTAAGCTGCTCAAGAATGGATTGGAACCACAGCTGGCACAAAAAGGCGCAAGATGTGTTTAACATGATTTGTTGCTATTTTCAGACCAGCACAACTCTAATTTTCCCATTTTGTGCCATGTTGTTAAATAGCAAATCCCTTTGCACCACTTAGTGGACTCATGGGTGTGCTGGTCTAATATAGAGGTGTGTTAGGACGCATTGCTTGTGCGTTGCTATTTTGAAGAACTGAAAATGACAGCGCCATTGACCAACTAAAAGCTGGTCTAAAGTCCAGCGAAGAGCACATTAGCACACTTTCACATTGTATAATACACACAGGATGTACAGCAATACACAAATATCTTTACACATTAATTAAATTAAAGGATTTAAATGATACAAAAATGAATGTTTTTAGCATAAATATAAAAACCACTGCTTTCAAGCCTTCTTCATTTCGAGGGGCTTTTTCAGTTTATTCATGACAATTTGCATTTGTGTATTATTATTATTATTATTATTTATTTGCATATTTATATTAGTTTTAAAAAAAACAAGTTTAGATTTGTCCTACTCTCGAGTTTTGGAGACGTCTGCATCACACTATGGGGCAAAAGAACAGGAAGTGTGTTTGGATATAACTTGTTTGACCACACTTTGTTATTATTGTTCATTTATTTGTTTGCTGGAAATTAGAACTGAATTTATAAATAGTTTTGAATCAAATCTTTGCGCTTACAAACTAAATTAAATATGCAGGCTAATGAATGTCTTCAGTGGAGTGTGTACAACAGTTTCCTTACTCCGCGAAAGTAAAGAAGTAAACTAAAGAGTAAAAGTAAAGAGAAATTAAAGAGGCCAAATGGAGGAGGCTCATTCTTTATCCTTGCGCTGCAGATAGTCTGTTTAACTGTTTTCTCACTGAAGCATTCAGTTTTTCCACTTACAAAGTCCATCATGTTAATAGCAAATTCAACATGGCGCGATGCAACTGACCCTTAAAGGTAATGTAAGATAAGACTCTGATTGGTTTAATGCACATTATGCTCAAAACACACCCATAACTCATAAAGAGAATAAGCACAGCCATGTTAGACCATGCACTAGAACACAGTGTATTTTTCCATCCTTAAAATAGCTAAATTGGATTCGGACACATCCTTAATGCTTTTGTGCCATGCACTTTAGACTTTGTGCCTAGATTGTTCAAATAGAGCCCAAAGAGTTGCGCAGCAGCTGATTAGCAATTAAATAGATATGAAGCAACAAGGTTTGCTCTGGTCTGAGGTGTCTTTAAAAGGTTAGAAAGGGTGTGTATTAACATTACCATTGGGAAATTTAACCAGCATTTTGTATTTTTGATCAAATCAATGCAGCCTTGATGAGCATCAAAACTAACTTGAAAACTAATTAAGAAATATTACTGAACCCAGAATTTGAAACCAATGCTACATCTTTTATTGGCCATTATCAGTAGTTCTAATACAAACAAACATAAACGTGCACACACAAACACATTTGTTGTATATCAAGCCATGGATTTTTTAACTTTCATTATTTTTTCATATTGAGTCAAGTAATTATATTCGCTTTGCCCTGAACTATTGCTTATACAAACCTTTTGACTTTTTTACAATTTAATTAAGACATTATGGTTTCTTTATTAAGCTGTTTCATCATGTGCACCATTGGGAGATGACCAAAATGCACATTATTGGAGGTTTAACTATTCTTGTGGGCACATCTGACCTGACCCGACCCACATTTACCAGAAAAACACAAAAATATACTAGTTAGGCTGAAAGAACTACGTCTGTGTTAACATAATGTGGATTTATTTCAACACGAAGGTAAGTGAGTGTCAATGTAAGTGTAACTACAGAGAAAGAATGCTGGACAAAAGGCTTACATGTAGATTTTGAGAGCTGGATGGTTGGGAATGTGTGGTGGGCAGAGTGTGTGGGATCTGGCAGGGAATAAGGACTGTGTAGGTGGACCAGGAACCATCTTTAAGCTCTGCTGAAGATGTACTGAACACATATACAGCTGCACTATGTGCAAATAAATCTAGACAACACACTGCTGTAATTCAGTTTACAAGCAGTTCTCCTGCATTGTTCACTACCTTTGTTATTATCTCCATTTAATTCTTTGCTAAGTATCTGGACATTCACTTGATCACAACACATGCAGATTTTTCTTTTACAGGTCTTCTTATCACAATCAACAAATTCAGTTTATGCACAGCACATATTAATTAAGGTCATTCTGCATCTTATAAGTGTTATAGATCATTCACCTAAACTGAAGATCTCTGTTTTAATTTTTTGGTTGTGGCATTTCAAACTATGGTACCTTTTTCTGCAGACAGACTAAAGAAAGATGATTTTAAGCTGCTTCCCATTGAAAAAAACAGGGTGTAAAACACTCTGGCTGCACAGCTCAACATTCACAACATACACAAATAACAATTCAAATGCACGACCACACTGAATTTAAATAAAAATAGACAGAAGATTAATGGGTAAAAAAGTGACAGGTGAACCATTCCTCTGTGATCAATTACATTGTCCAATAACACAATGAAAATTGCCAACAGGGGAAGGCTTTAATCATTGGTGTGCTGTCCAGCAGTGGTTTAGATCCATTATCTTGCATATCTATTTATAACTGTACACTGCAAAAAATAGCTTACTCAGTATTTTTGGATTTGTTTTTTAGTAGATATATCAAACCATCCCTATTTACTATAATATTACATTACATGTTTTTAATCTATTATTTTATAATATATTTATTTTATAAAAATATTACACACAAACACACACAACTGAAGTCAGACTTATTAGCGCCCCTTTGATTTTTTTTTTCCGTTTTTAAATCATAGTTTTTTTAAATCAAAATGTTTTCATAGTATGTCTGATAATATATTTTCTTCTGGAGAAAGTAATCGTTTAATTATGTCTAGAACGTTTTTAAAAATCAGAGAGTATGAATTGCTGGAAGAGTCTTGTTTTAATGGAATTTAATGCCGCACGCCGTATTGGGAAAAAACTCAGCATTTCACGATGTGCGTGTCTGTGGTCCTTTACTGACTCAGAAGGTGCAGAAAATAGTGTCAAACAGCCGTGTGTGTATAGACTATCCTGACGCAAAATGTTGCGAAAATCCTAAACAACGGTAATAGTTTGATTGCGGTGTTTACAAATCTGTTCTGCACTTCAATAATGCTACTAACATATGAATACTCCATATGTCTTAATTCAATTTCTGTTTAGTTTGATTATGACTTTAGTCAGTTTAAGGTAATCGAAAATCTCTGTTTACATGATAGACTCTTAATCAAAGTATTGTCTTAATCATATTAAAATTCAATTATTGGTGTCCATCTAAATGTACTCACTGTCACATGATGCATTCTAACAAGGGTCCAAGACAAAAAGTGTTTTTCAAGCTTCAAAACAATGAAAGAGTGAGTGAATCAATTCATAAATCATATTAAAGACTCTGATCCAGTTCCAAACTATTCATATTCTTTTTACTTATCCACTAATCTAAGCTAGAAACATGTATTAACCATTGACTTCCTTCCATAGTATTTGTTTTTCCTACTATGAACATCAGTGGTCATTAGTTTTTCATTCAGAATATAATAATTTTAACATAAATATGTCTAATGAGACGATGAGGAATGCATCTTTGTTGAATAAATATATTTTAAACTGTTGAACAGTCATTATCTCATGTAGTTTGCTTCCTAAATGTAAAAAAAAAAAATTTAAATACAAAAATACTGATTAATATGATGATTTTTTTACAGTGTCATACAGCCACCTTCCCACAGACTTGTGCACATACAAGCACATGAAACATAAAGAGGTGCTGAAACTCATCCACATGTAAACTGAGTCACTGGGTGAGAGAGAGCGTTTACCGCAGGAGGTTACAGAGAGCGACAGTGGTGAATGTGGGAAGGGGAAAAGACTGGTTGAATGATTAAAAAGGATGGCGAAACTGGAGAAGTCGAAGGAAAGATGGCAGAAATCACGTGAACAGAAAAAAACAACTAAACCAACGAAAATGTCCAAAATGAAAAGTTTACCATTGACATGCAAACCAAAGTGAGGTGGAGAAAGTGGAAAATACTTGAAGAGAAGCAGACGTACCATTAGTCGGATGCTTTGCAAACGACACAGAAAATCGCTTTACTGCCGGCATAGACAACAACTCTGAGGAAATAAAAAAGGTCACTAGAGTTACCATATTTTACAGAACACCTGCACAGGATGGGGATGGTGTTACAGAGCTGAAGGTGTCAAGGTTTATAGGGTGAGAAGTGAGAACTGGGTCTCTATAATGACTACAAACTGGGACAAAAGCAGGAAGAGCAGTGTTTTGTAATGTGATTTAAATAAGAATCACTCAACTTATTTTGGAAATAGGTTTATTTTACATTTTAGAGGTAAACGTTGTATTTTACTATTTTTAATCCATTCAGTTGACCTTCGGTTCTAGTAGTAGCACTTTTAGCTTAGCATAGCATAGATTATTGAATCAGATTGGATCATTAGCATCTTGCTCAAAGAGTTTTGATAATTTTCTATTTAAAGCTTTACTATTCTGTAGTTACATCGTATAATAAGACAAACAGGAAATTAAAGGTTGCCAAGCCCTTGATTTTTACACTGGAATGAGACACGGCCATATTAGCCTACAGGTTGTTCCTAGCCATATTAGCCTATAGGTTGTTTTCACATGACACCATTAAAGACGTGCAATTCAGAAGGAGGGCAAGAAGTAATTCTCCTACATAGGAATCACTATGAGAAAATTAAAATATTTCTGCTTTAACTATGTTGTTTATAATTGTTTAAATTGCCCAAAATAAGAAATGCAGAACAGCTTTTATAGACTTCCAAACGTTTTAGCTCATAAAGGGGGAAACTTCAAGAAACTGGCTGAAAAACAGAAGAAAAGGTGGCATGTAATAAACATTTAGTCAGCGCATCCATGTTTACAAACTTTAGCACCAATAAAGATCATATACAGACCTAGCTGTGTGTATAAATATGTTTATGTGTTACACTAAAATCAGATACAAACACCGCCACATTCCCCCAAAATCCAGGAGAATATAAATAACGTAGCCTGCCATGTCATCACTGCAATAATCTCTGTCTGGTTTTGCAATAATCCATGTCTTTACTGCCGTTTTGGCAGAATAAACAACCATAATGTGAACATCGAGATGTGCAGCAGCAGTTAATGTTGGTTGATGTTAAGATCATTAAGTTAATTTCCCCTTCCAAAAATAAATAATAATGTAGACTGTCATCTGTTATTTTATGATGTCTGAAAGATATCCGCATGGGAAAAAAACATGTTTTTGAACCACATAGTAAACTGTATAAAGTGCACAACTTTGTAAATGAATGCTACAGAATACTGTAGTACAGTAAACTGATAAACTGTAATAAATACTGCAGCGTTAGTCTAAACTGTGGTGCATTGTGATGGTGTACAATCAAAGTGAAGAAAACTAAAGCCTATTGAATAATTTGTTTATGACTACAGTGTGTTTACCCACAGCAACATTAGAATTACTACGACAGTTTAATTCAAGTAATTATCTATAGTATGCTTCCAAACACTATATTTACTAGATTTTTTTATGTAACGTAATAGCTTAAAGAGAATATGCCTCGATGACAGGCAAATATATTTTAGTTCAGTAGAAAAATGATCCCTCTTCTTTATGTAAGGATCATGTCCAACATATGTGGTTATTTTCGATTTATAACTCCCTTGAAATATGTTATAAATCGCAAAAATACAGACTTTCCTCTGTCTACCATTCTGTTTTTTACTTCCTGCCCTCCATCTGAATTTCGCCTGTCACCAGAACCATGTGACTGCAAACAACCTATAAAGCAACTTTTCATTTTCTGACAGTCTTTGTACACAATACAAAAAAATAACTATTGAATCTCTGCCCATGCTAATGGTCTAATCCGATTTTATGATCTTTGCTAAGCTAAAAGTGCTCCTGCTAGACCACGAGGTCAGATGAATGGATTAAAAATTGTCTCAACTGTTTACCTTGAGAGAATTTGTAAAATGAGCCTATTTGCAAAAAAACACATGTTCCTTTAAGCTTAAGAGTGAGAATGTTCCTTATCATAAGGAAAAAAGATGCTAATCTTTTTAGACTATTCCTAGCTCAGAAACTACAGTGAAAGAGAAAATGATAACAAGTGGACAGATCTTAATAGATAGTAACAAAAAATATCTTCAGAGAGTTGTCGCAATGAATGAGTGGGTCTATTTATAAAGCTTTGAATACAGTAATATTTTCAGCTTGTCACTTTATGGGCACTTCTCAACTATAAATACAGATACCAGATTATCAGACGTCATCTCTCGAGAACAAACAAAATGGTTGACAGAAGCATGAAAAGCTTAAGAGGGTCAGATCGACCTCTTGCTTCTGTAATACAAGCAGCTCTGAGAGCCTGTAGTGAACAGCACAATACCACACACAACAGTGAAGACAAAAAAGACTGTGGGGATTGTGGTCAGTGGCCAGTCAAAGGGTTAAACTCAAGCTAATAAAGGTTATATGAACAAGCTCATGTGTATGACTGTAACAAATGAAAGTGTAAAGTTAAAAATGCAATACGGCAGTAAACAAAAGAAGACACAGAAAATGGGAACTAAAAGGAAAAACTCCATACAATGTCACACTGACACCTTGTGGACGAAGGGTTTCACTACAAGAGAACAAACTGAACATTCTGGAAGGAATCGAGACATGAGAATGCTCCAGCATGGACTAGCAAGTCAATTCTTTCATACGGTTTCATTTCAAACATCAAAGTAGAGTTAAATCCACAGCTAATGGCCATTTATCTGATTTAGTAATTATTAAAATATACAAATAACTGAAAACACTTCACAATAAGATTCAGTTTGCTTTCAAGATTCAGGTTACTGCTAATGTTATTGTTCAATGTCAAAAAAAATAATTAGGTAAAATACAGTTTATTTGTAAAATATTGCTAAAGTTTTATTGTTTCCTGCATAAACTATTCATCCAGATTAATAAGTGCTGCTAAAAATGTTATTTATTGTTTTTTTGATTTAAGCTATTGCATAAATTAGTATTAATAGATAGAGCCTTACTATGAAGTGTTACCAAATAAAGGGATGTAACGTGTACATTCACCAGTCACTTTATTAGGTACACCAATCCAACTTTTTTGTTAACGCAAATTTATATTTAACTCAATGCATTTAGGCATGTAGACATTGTCAAAACGATCTGCTGCACTTTAAAACCAAGCATCAGAATGCTGGTGATGTAATGGTGTGGGGATATCTTCTTGGTACACCTTGGGCCCATTAGTACCAACTGAGCATTGTGTCAACGCTACAGCCTAGCTGAGTATTGTTGCTGACCATGTCCATCCCTTTATGACCACAGCGTACCCATCTACTGATGGCTACTTCCAGTAGGATAATGCGCCATGTAATAAAGCGTGAATCATCTCAGACTGGTTACTTGAACATGATAATACCTTAATCCGATAGAGCACCAGACCTCAAGTCAATAGACCTTTGGGATGAGGTGGAACAGGAGACTTGCATCATGGATGTGCAGCCGACAATATCTGCAGCCACTGTGTGATGCTATCATGTCAATATGGACCAAAATCTCCGAGTAATATTTCCAGTACCTTGTTGATTTTATGCCACGAAGGATTAGGCAGTACTAAAAGTAAAAATGCGTCCAACGCAGTACTAGTAAGGTGTACCTAATAAAGTGGCCAGTGAGTGTACTACTGTCCAAAAGTATGGGATCAGTCAAATAGATTTTTTTTTTCTTTGAAAAGATTTTGTTACTTTTAATCAGAAATGAAAAATTAAACAAACAAACAAAAAAATTCTACAATGAAGGCACTTATAAGAAACATTTAGATTTAAATAGTAAAATATATTAAGCTATTTTTAACACTGATAATAACAATAATACATCCAATTTTACAATTTTAAGATTTTGTTTGTTCAAATTAGCTACCTATATTAGTAAACACAAATTAACAGTTTCAAATACTTCTGCAGCATTTATTCATTTTAGATGTTAGTTTATATAAAATAAATGATTTATTACCAGTATAATACACAGTGTGTTAGCGAATATGTAATATGTAGCTAATAATATTTAAGTATTTCATAATGTCATTTTTTTATGTATTTTAGATCCAACAAAACCCTTGATGTCTTGGTGTGTTTATGAGACTTCTTTCAAATACATTACAAAAATAAAACCAACCTCAAACTTTTGAATGGTAGTGTATCTGAGACTGTCAAATGTTCATGTAGCAAATAGTAGTCAAGATCATTGTTTATATTCACATTCCAATTCACAAAATCTATTTCGGATCAGACTTTTTAGATCCCTGCAGTGGTACATAAAAATATGTGTTTCCAATCAAATGATGTCAAGAATAAAACGCTGGTCACAAAATAATGACAGATGACAAGAAACAGAGGACATCACTTCTGAAAGATAATGAATGGCACAGTAGACTCCATGATTTGGACACACGCTCAAGACCATGAAAATGAACCAGGTGTGAAGTGGTGAATATGACAGGGAGATGTGCAATACACCATCAGGATCTGATGTAATCAAACCACATTTACAGGAAGTGCCCTTCACCTAAGGTTTCTACCCTCTAAATTTTTCAATCATCGCTATGAGAGAAGAAGCTGGACTGAGCACATACCGTCTTTATAGGTCAAACTGCCCGAGGAGAATTTTTTGCGATGTGTGCGAGCGTAGTCCTGAAGGTTGGGGGCGCTAGAGGAGCCCCCCAGGACGGTGGTACTGAAGAGACCAGCGCACTGAGAGCCTGCAGAGGGGGTTAGATCATGGAATTAGTGTGCACACCAACCACATGCACTTATAATCAAATCATAGCAGTTACTTCAGGGGGAGTGAGAGGATTATAAAGTCATAATGTATGACTTGTGCCAAAACCATTATGGTTTGGCGGACATCAACGGCAGAGACTAGTAGAGCAAAAACTAATCAACAAAAGACAGCAGCCATGTTCTTGTCATGGAAGTGCTCATGGACGTATGTAACTCGTAGAAGCAATTAGAAACAAAAACATTGATGAGTATGCTATTAGCGAATGTCAGTGTTCACATGTCATGGATAGTAAATATATATAAATGACTACACAAATAAGTACCATACGCTAATCTAAATGAACACAAATTAATTACACAATATTAATCACTTTAACTCTACAGACAGTTAGATTTAAAGTATGTCTCATTGCATGCAGGATTATTTTGCTAATTTACACTCTGTTTTAATCATGCAATAGATTTAAGGCATTCACTTTCGATTGTAGGCAACAGCTTTGGGGATAAATAACCAACTAAACTGTTACTTATCAGTAGTGGTAATGAATAACAAATCCTCACATTACTGTAACAGAGAGAGTTTTTGTACCTTACTAACTAGTATGTTTATTTTAACAAGGATACATTTTTACCATAGATATTTACATTAGATGTGGCCTACCCAGTTGTTGTCTATTGGAAGGAATGCATCAATAGAGCTGCCATTTTAGTACAGGGGAGCGCTCCTTTGAAATGAATGCGGCACCAAGGTGCAGTGGAGGACTGTGGCCATCCAGAGCCAGAGATATATACACACATATATATATCTCTATGATTGGGAGATTTCTCGATGGTCAGTATGAAAATGTTTTTTAATTACGAAAAATGAAATTTTACACCTCTTTTCTACATTAATGGATAAGTGACCACAAAGGCATTGCCGACAAAGAGCATTCGTTTGTGTGCACAGAAATGTATTATCCTCCCTCCCTGCTAAATCTGATCTAATCCATGTCCTGAAACACACCCACTCTCCCGCTTTCACTTCTCATTCTAACGAAGGAAGCGATTCGTTTGTGATTGAATCTCCATTATGGACTACTCGTTTACTTAGCGGACAAGAATATAAGTTTCTGGTACCGCAACGTTGTGTTGTCATATTTCATTAACATTGTTTGCTGATTTTATTCAACAAATCTAGCATAAGCCTGGTATTTAGTTTGAGTTGGTGCTACTTTGCCTTATGATCAGTACTAAGTCACTGTATTATCATCAATAATGTTACTCCTTTAGCACTAAAGTTCATAACATCCAAAAACGTACCTTACCTATGAAATGTTCTTGTAAAAAACAGGACAAGTAACCACTCATCCAACCAGCAGAGAGAGCCTTCGCCTGAATTCTGACTGTTCTTCGTTGGTTACTTCCTGTTTGGTGGCCTGTTTTTGTACTGCCTTCCTGTTCTGACCTTTGTGCCTGTTTTGTTGACCACTGCTTTTGGATTACTTATTTTGCCTTGACTGCCTTGTTTGGACTGTCTGATTTTTTCTCTGAACCTTGTATGCTTTTCTGACTACGATTGAGTCTTGTGATTTGAATTTGTTGGCTGAGAACTATTAAACCTCTTGCACTTGGATCTAATGTGTCTCTAGGTCGTCACTACCACCATTGTCACAGAATACTTTTCCTAACATGGATCCAGAAGAAGTTTCTCAGGTACAGACTACAGTATGTTTGCTTATCAAAGTGAGTTACTAAAGGGATATCAGGAGCAACTGATGCAATTATCAAATGTCAACAATCATCTCACTCAATACATCCAGTCAGTTCCTTCTCCTCAAAGCTCTACGGTAAGACTAGCTTTGTCTAACAAATTTGATGGCTCACCTGAGCAATGTTGTGGGTTTGTTCGCCAGTGTAAAATATTTTTTACCAGCCAACCTGATACTTATAAGTTACTTGATACTTATAAGTTACCTGATACTTATTAAGATACTAAGAAGTGTGCAGTGTTAATGTCACTGCTAACCAGACGAGCCCTAGATTGGGAATCAGCGGTTTGGGAAAGCGATGCTAAAATACAAACATAATTTGATTATTTCATCTCCCAAATGCATGAGGTGTTTGCTTATCCTGAAGGGGGACAGGATATTTCTGAACTACTCCTAAATTTAATATAAGGAGCATGCACTGCAGCTGACTGGCAGCTGAAAGTGGATGGAATGACATTGCCCTTAAAGCAACATTCAAATGGGGATTAAATGCAAAAATACAAACTGAACTAGCCTGCAAGGTGGTGGATACGACATACAGTGAGTTCATCAACCTGGCCATCAACACACGTTTATCAACAACGAACAACCAACCTGGAACAAGCCCAGACATGCCCGGACACTCTACAACCAACGTAAATGGCAGCCACTCGTCTCTCAACTGACAAAAGAGACCATTGTCAGCATGAATACCTGTGTTTCTACTGTGGAGAGGAGGATCATCGCCCTGTTTCCTTTCCCCACAAGACCAGACAATCTTTCCGAGCTAAATACAGTGCGAGTACAATTGAACTTCCTACCTCTTCTAACCACAGTTTTTTGTCTGAGCTGTGAGTTAAGTTTTGATACTGCCTCTCAATGGGTTTCAGCATTAGTAAATTCTAGGTCAGCATTAAATGTCATTGGGCAAGAACTAATCAACACATTAAATGCTACAACATTCCCCTGTGTTCCTGCCATCAACATAACCACCATCAACAATGGTAATATTGGTTCCAGGATAACAGCCATTACTCAACCCATGTAACTTCGCATTGTACTTTTCCATAAGGAGACCATAACTTTCTATTTTGTCAACTCATGCAAATATAAAATCATTTTGGGTCACCCGTGGGTACCATCCATAACCATGAGCCCTTGAACAATTAGGTGATGCCCATATCTATACCAAACTTGACCTTAGGAGTGCTTATAACCTTATTCATATTTGAGAGGGCGACAAGTGAAAAAACTAATTTCTGACCACTAGGGGGCACTATGAATACTTAGTTATGCCTTATGGACTTGCTAACTCACCAGCTGTCTTCCAATCATTCATAAATGAGACATTCAGAGACCTGCTAAACAGTTGTGTCATAGCTTTAATAGATGACATTTTGATCTTTTCTACCAACCTAGAGCAACATATCAAGGATGTCAACGTATTCTTAGCTTGCAACAAAACCATCTCTATGCCAAACAAAAGAAATGTGAATTCCATATGTCCAAACCCATGTTCTTGGGATACATTATCAGCCATCAAGGAGTGGAGATGAACGATTGTAGGGTACAGGCAGTCACTGGTTGGCCTCTCCCCAAAACTGTTAAGGAACTACAAAGTTTTTTGGGGTTTGCTAACTTTTATCGCAGGTTCATCAGAAACTACAGTCTTATTGCAGCCCCCCTTACCTTACTGCTAAAAGGCAAGCCATGTTAACTCAACTGGAATCCAGAGGCAGTAAAATCTTTTGAAAGACTCAAAAACAGCTTCACTACAGCACCCATTTTAAAGCACCGCAATCCTGAACTACTCTTTATTGTGGAAGTGGATGCTCAGACTGTGGCATTGGAGCCATCCTCTCACAACGACACGGTAAACCGGGTAAACATCACCCTCGTGCTTATTTTTCTCAAAACTGACTGAAAGAAATTATGGTGTAGGCAACAAGAAACTACTTTCAATGAAAGCAGCACTAGAAGAATGGCGCCACTGGCTGGAAGATTCCAGATGATCATAGACCACAGAAATCTTGAGTATATCAAGAGTGCCTGACGATTAAATCCTAGGCAAGCCCGTTGGTCAAGCCAACAGGAAGATCCACTTCCTCTAATTGCCCCCCAGATCGCCAATATTTTCCTTAAGCACTCCGAACCCAGATCCTACAGTGGGTGCACAATTTGATAAGTTTAGGACACTCAGGTATATCTTGCATTTTGGTGGCCGAATATGACCCAAGATACTGCAAATTTCGCCAAGTCCTGTGCGGTTTGTGCCTAATCCAAGACACCACGGGAACTACCAGCAGGATTACTCCAACCTCGCCCATGGTCACACTTATTTGTTGATTTTGTCACTGATTTACCCAACTCCAATAACTACGCTACTATACTAATTATCATAGATCACTTCTCTAAAGGTTGCAGACTGATCCCACTCAAAGGGCTACCTACAGCCATGGAGACTGCTCTTGAACTGTCTACGTGTTCCAGCACGTATTCAGAGTTTATGGTATCCCAGAAGACACTGTATCGGACAGAGGTCCCCAATTTACGTCAAAAGAATGGAAGGCATTCTGCAAACAACTGGACATCAATGTCAGTCTCACCTCACATCATCCTAAATCTAACGGTCAAGTTAAAAGACTAAACCAGGAAATTGTACGCTACCTTAGAACCTACTGCAGCAGAGAGCAGGATAAATGGAGCAATTCTGCCTTCCTCCCCTGAGGCAGAATATGCTCAAAATTCCCTCCAATATTCTTTCTGCACTAACTCTGTTTCAGTGCATCCTAGGCTACCAAGAACCTGATGTTCCCCTGTTCTGGTGAACCTTTCATGGTGCCATCAGTAGACATAGGTCAAACGTAGGGAAGGAGTATGGAACAGCATTCATGTGATATTTCAAAGAACCATAAGTACCCAAAGGATCTAAGCAGACCAAAGACGACGTCCACACCCCAACTATCAACCTGGCCAGAGAGTCTGGCTATCAACTCGAGACCTCAGACTACAACTACCTAGCAGGAAGCGCTTACCAATCTATGTAGGACCCTTCAAGATTCTGAAACAAATTAACAATGTAACATACCATTAGAGCTTCCTGCTGATTACCACATCTCCCCTTCCTTCTATGTTTCCCTCTTGAAACCGGTCCAACCAACATCTGACCCCAGCACATTGAAACCTGAACCCCCTCTACTTTTAGAAATTGATGGGGCACCAGCATATGCGGTCAACGAGATTTTGGACTCTTGCCGCAGAAGTGGTCTATTACAATACTTGGTGGACTGGGAGGGCTATGGACCAGAAGAGAGGTCTTGGGTGCCATCAAGGGATATACTGGACCTATCTCTGACCCAGGACTTTCACCATTGGTACCCCAATCAAACAAGTATTGATAATAATACAGTCACTTACTGCACTGCCCATAAGGGAAAGTAGCACCAACTTGCACAAAATACTAGGTGTATGCTAGTTTTGTTGAATAAAATCAGCAAACAATGTAAATGAAATATGACAACAAGATGCTGCGGTGCTAGAAACTTGCTATTGTCATATTATAATTATTGTCGGGCAAGTAAAGTAATGGCTAGTTTTTGAAGTAACTTATAAGGGTGCCTGATAACTTAACAGTGCCTGTGCCTCATTTTGCATACTGTCCACCCTAAATGATTGAATATTACAAATGTTATATTCCATTTAGATCAGAAAGGTGGATATGCACATTGAGTTGCAGGGATATCGATGATTTAAATGGATCGTTCATAATGGAGATTTATTCAAAAACGAATCGCTGCCTCCGTTAGAATGAAAAGTGAAAGCAGGAGAGAAGGTGTGTTTCAGGACAGGGATTAGATCAAATTTAACAGGGAGTGAGGATAATACACTTCCTTACACACAAACACATGCTCTTTTGTTGGCAATGCCCATGTGGTCACGTTTCTGTTGATGTAGAAAAGGGATGTAAAATTATGTTTTTTGTAATTTAAAAAAATGTATTTGTATACTGACCACCGGGAAAACTCCTGATCATAGATATATGATAAATGCATAAATGTTTTAATATCTATGGCTCCGGATTGACAGTCCTCAACTGTACCTTGGTCCCACATTCATTTCAAAGGAGCGCTCCCCTGTACTAAAATGGCGGCTCTTTTAACTCATTCCTTCCAATTAGGGATGCGCCAATACCAGTATCAGGTATTGGATCGATACTTGGTTAAAATACTCGTACTCGTATTGGACATGAAAGGCCGATACCACGTACCGATACCACTCAACAGTAATTCAATACATGGATGTGATTTCCTGTCCTACCTGACTACAATGTCTTAATGTATTAATTAGCCTAATGTGTTATATGTTAATAGCTTAGTCCTTATAAACAATCCGTTTAAAAAATACATTATTAACAAATATATAGGCTACTGAAGAATAAACCAAATATGCAATATGATCATTGCATAATAATCACAGCTAAACAAGCTAGCACTCATTTTATTTATTAACTGTAAATAAAAAATGAAAGAAATTAAGAAAGTAATTGAACATTATGAAGAAATCTAAAGGCTACAGGCTAAATATCGCAGCACATCGCAGTTATTTTACTGCAATTTTCAAATAATAGTGATAAAAGACAGACAGACACACACACACACACATACACACACACACACACACACACACACACACACACACACACACACACACACACACACACACAAACACACACAGAGGATACACTCTCGTAGGCATATTCATTATTGAGTTTTTAACATTAAACGCATAATAATCAAGTGCAAAAAAGAAAAGTTAAAATTCTGAAAAAGTGATTACTGCGGTTGCTGCGATGGTTGCTTGTTTGGATTATCAGTGCTAAATCTTTTTTGTTTTTTACATTGTGAGATGATGGTCATGTGATTTTTAAAATAAGAGTATGCATTGAGTATTTATGGCTATTGATCTTATCTTCCCGCTACCCACCCATAGTTAAACATCAAGTAGCCTACTTTTTGCTTACCCAACCAGCCGATTAACGACAGGACTTGTGAATATGAAAGAATCCCACATAACAGGGTTTTATGCGTCCCCAATATGCAATGCCAAGAGAGTGACTCCATAAGGTAACTTACACTGCACACACTTTGTGTAATGTGTGAAGTCATGGACACAAGTAAGTGCAAGTATAACTAGTCCTTAAATGTACATGCTTAATCATTAATAGATAAGGTCTGGATTCGTAGGGTTATCAACAATGTGTGTATATTTTTGGCTTGAAACAGCCTTCTGTTAAAAGACTTTTTGTGTTCATCCTTGCTACAGGCAAAAAACAAAAAAAAAAAAAACAACAACAAATAAATTTAATTGAAACCAAATCTATGAAGTATCGGTATCGGTACTCAGTATCGGTGAGTAAACAAATTAAAATACTCGTACTCGTATTGGTTTGTAAAAAGTGGTATCGGTGCATCCCTACTTCCAATAGACAACAACAACGTAGGCAACATTTAATGTAAATATCTATGGTACAGACCAACCCTAAGACACAAACATGTACATTGTCAAAGCATTAAAAGTGTCCAAAAAGGTGCAAAACCATTACAGAAAATGACTAGGAGAGTGTTTAGACTGCATATCATAGAGGGAAAGATGAAGGATATCTACTGTATGATGACTGAAATTACCAAATGACTCCAAACAACAACTAAATGCACCACAGAATGTTATGTTTTCAAATACACGCACCAGTGTTGCACGAGCTTGGTTTGCGGTCCCAACTGTGGACACTTGTAGCTTGTTAGTCAGGGTTCAAAGTGCATAATAAGCATTTACATATCGTCACAGGGGTTTTTATTATTAATTTCTTTTAATTTTGCATCAACTTGCTTTCTGTCAAATTATCATATATAAATATGTTTTAAATATGTTTTCACATTAAATTAATCTCACATTTTCAATGTATAGTCCTTAAATATCAAATATAGGAAAATGGCAATGATGTAAGCTACATTTTTCATTTGCAGTGTATAAGATGTAATCATTTTCACAGCGTAACGAACACTATTCTTGAGTACTTTAGAAGAGCAACATTCTACTCATATTTTTAACAGATACTTTTTACTCACACTAAATTTTATGGCAAGTAATTTTACTTTTACTTGAGCAGGACTTTCAGAACTCTTCACCACCATGGCATATCAGAAATCACAGCATTTGTTTGCATAAAGCAAAACGCACAATGATCCCTTTAATAGATCTAAAAATGAACAGCATCACATGCACTAAACTCCACTGTGTCCAATACGCACTGTGTATTCACTAATTTCCTTTATGTCAATGAAAGCCCCCAGCTAATGGTTGGCACACCCGAAATAAGACTCAATATAGTGTTGCCTTGGATGCAGAGGGTGATTTCCTGTCAGGGAGAAGAGATAAACAGCAGTTGTTGAGGTTGAATGAGGGACAGACACACGATACCAACCTAATCCGCTCTGCTTCATCTCTGGAGACTGACGTGAGCAGGAGGGGAAGAGGCGATAGCTGCCTCCTTTAGAGGAAGAGCTTTCTGACAAGACCTGTGTGCACACAAATGGGGCACTTTTGAATTTTGCCACATAAAACCCAGCCTGATTCTGTCAATTTGACACCACTGAGATTCACAGTCATATTTTAGAAAGTAGAGTAGGTGTAATGCTGTCTTTGATACCTCCATAGAGCCAGTCTTGCGGTTGCGGATCAAAGGGGATTTCCTCTGGGTGCTGATGGCCTCTGAAAGGGGCAATGCACGGTCGGGCTCATCCCGTGAGAGGTTCTCCAAACTTCCAGGGTCTGTTTGCTTCTGGTCATTCTACATCAAGACACACAAACACAGACATGGAATCTTCAGCAAGCAAGCATTGCTATTATTAGCTAAAAAAATGTGTTCTCCAATGGGACAAAGGAAAGGGTTGTATACTTCAGCAGAGGCTGGTCGGAAGCCGAAGCCCATCGGAGCGCTCTCTTCCTCAGACACTTTAACCCCAGGGCTGAAATGCAGTTCCACATGGAAGCGCTCTTCAGAGGACGGATCCTGGGTTCACATAAGATCACAGTTGTCACATTTCTTTGAAGCACTCTGTTGAGACTAGACAGTCCCCACTCAGACATTAAACAGTTCTGCTGTGTTTATACTGGGTCTTAGAGCAGAGCAGAAAGGACAGTATAAGCAGGAGGTACCTTATTGTTGTCTTCGTAGAGCATAATGACGATCTGCGTCATGTAGTTGAGTTCAGACACTGCACTCAGATAATCCATTGCTCTCTTCCACTGCTCATCGTTTTCTTCCTGAAATATCATTATTAGTTTAATTCTTCATCAAACTACCATTAAATGCAAAAATATTTCTTGTTCTCTTTGACTTTTTTTTTGGATTTCTGCTTCTGCTCTAGCCTGTACTTGTCTTGTCTTAGCATACAGTACTTTCAGAAGCATGAATTTATATTATTTTCAAATCAATTCAAATGTATTGTATTTATTTAAGTTTTTATGTGATTTCATACTTTCTTATACAATAAAGGCTAAAGTGTAAAGCTGAATGTGCTGTTGAGCAAGGTGGAGGTCTACTGAAGCATTTTTTGTAAATAAAAACACCAAGGCTCTTCTAAAAAAGCTCAGCTGTGGTTTGTCAGATTGTCATCCTTTTGGCTGATGACTGGCAAGAAAGGACAGACATCGCAATTGCTGAAATTGGTGAAAGAAGCGAAATGCCTCTCACTTTCTACGCAATGACCTTGTCGCCATGATAATGCTACAAAAAAATCTTTAAACCAGTGGAATGAATTTGCTCTAAACAACGCAAAAACAACCAATTTTCAGTTGTTAGTGAAATATATCTGTCCTAATACGTGTTTTTAGCAGTGTGGCATATACAGTGAGGGAAAGTATTGAACACGTCACTATTTTTCTCAGAGAACATATTTCTAAAGCTGCTGTTGACTTGACATTTTCACCAGATGTTGGTAACAACCAAAAAATCCATATATGCAAAGAAAAGAAAGCAAATTAGTTTACAAATTGATTTATGTGTGATAAAATTAAACTACGCAGGGAAAAAGTATTGAACACATGAAGAAATGGAGGTGTACAAAGGCAGTGAAAGCCCAGACAGAGGCTGAAATCTCTCAGTAGTTCTTCAGCAACCCTTTGCCCTTCTTCATTGTAAACTTATATCAGCTGCTTCAGTCCAACATCTACATTAGCAGGATGATGAAGATGAAACCAGGGTGGACAATTTAGCTAGACAATGATCCTAAACACAGCCAAGGAAACTCTCAGATGATTTCAGAGAAAGAAAATGAAGCTGTAGAATGGCTCAGGCAATCACCTGACTTGAATCCAATAGAAAATACAAATTGAAGATCAGATTTGGTAGACAAAACCCACAGAACCATCAAGATTTTGTTCAATACTTTTTTTCCCTGTGTCATTTAACTTTATTAAACATAACTTCATTTGTAAACTAATTTGATTTGTTCTCTTTTCATATAGGGTTTTCTTTGGATGTTCGAACATTAGTGAAAAATAAGTCAATAGCACCTTTAAAAATATATTTTCTGAGAAAAATGGAGACATGTTCAATACTTATTTCCCTGCTAAAAGAGCTTAATATTAATGAAAAATGAGTCAATTACTGTGCTTCTCATGGAGCACATTTCATATGACACTCTGCATATGTCGTTTTAAATCTGACACTTATTATCATTTTCATAGTGTTCCTTTTAGCGTACAGGTTATGCCTGTGCCACCGATTGATTCTCCCCTTTCCACCTTATTTCTCTTATTAATGTGTTAATATACTTACATCCAAGAGGCCACCATAACGGAAGATGCTAAGAAGAGAGTGGACATGGCTCTCGCTGGTGAAATACAGCCGAGTGCGAACATGCCTGCCTGGTGACAGCACTCCACGTGAATATCTGAGACACAAAGAGACAGATGAATGTGAGCTTTTGTAATCAATAGGATAGAATAAAAGATAGAAAAAAGCAGAGAGGACAGCATAAGAACAGGGCATCTCACAGTGGATGCAGCTTGTTTACAGACTCATCCTCATGTGTCCTCTGAAGGTCCAGCTGAATTTTCTTCACCAAAGGCAGACAATAGGCATACGCAATATCCAGCTTCTCTACCGTATTAATGCCATACTCCTAAAAAAACAGATTTTAAAAAACTGTCAGCAGTCAAAAGAACAATTGCAGATCCTGGCTTTGTGTGGTACATTATATATAAAAAGTATAGAAGAACTGAAACAAAAATTCTGGGCAAAAGCAGAAAATTCTGGATGCTCTTGGCTAGAAACCAAAACTGCATTGCATGGATTATTATTATCATTATTATTATTATTAAATGATTATAATTATTATTGATATAATTATTACAGAATATTCGGCTACCCAAAATTTTTGCATGTTGTCTGATATGTTCAGTTAAATCCTGCAGGAAAGTAATGCCTCAAATTATAATAGGTAGGCTATTTTATTCTGACTTTTGCTACTGTATATGTGACTAATATTTTTGTCAAATAAAAAAAAAAATACAGAAATATGGCTACAATCGAATAATTTATGCACTGGCCCTATTTAAATACACTCTCAAATCTTTCTTAAACGTCAGTCAGATGACAAGCTCAATCACTCAACAGCTAGATGGTTGTCTGTCTGAAACCCCCATCCCTAGAAGTGATAACTAGGCCCATACGGAAGCTGCAGATTTTAAGTACATCATTAAGTCTATGTAATTACTCCTGTAAATGGGTGTAAATGTATATTTGATCAGTCTTTAAGTTAATTAAGTAATATTATTGTGATATAACAACAATAATATTAAAATGTTCATATGATTTTTCTAAAAATACAGTTTGTAAAGTAATATTTTCTGTCTTTTTGTTTAAATATATTATATGAGAGACTTGCTTTTCTTACCAAATAAGTGGATTTAGATGGATTTGCATTGTAAACATTAAATAAAAAAGTTAAAAACGTATTATTTTTATTTTATATATTAAGTTTTTAGTTATGACACAACTAAAATTATTCTGCATAAATCCACAGATTGTTTACAAATTTTCCAGCAGAAATAATAAAAAATCACCGTCACCTCACAGCATTATGTCTAGCCCTAGAGATAAACTATTGTTGCTTATGTGCTAAACAAATATTTTCAGAATTTGTATTTGATTTATTCTTTAAAACGTATGTAATTGCAATGCCTTGATTTTAGTAATGTTAGTATACAGTCATAGCCATAAACACAAAAGTACTAATAATTGTCATCATTTGTTTCTGTGTTTTGGTTTTCGACCTTGGTTTCCTCTTTTTCCGTTTTCAGTTTAGCCCAAGAAATTTCATTGTGGTGCACCCTAATTATCATACAATTGTCATTATCTTATTAAAAGTTTTTTTTGAACTCGATAATTTAAATTATACTTACTAAAAAAAACTAATTTCATCTGGTGGAAATGATCACCCGAAAAACAAAAAATACTATTTTCGGCTGATAAATTTGTCAGATGGAAAATTCCATTCAACGACAAGTGTCAAAAAGTACTAACAAAGGTTTCGCTTTTTAGATTTATCGTTTTGTTGTGGTGTTTGTTGTTTAGTTTGTCTGACGAAATGAATAAGAAGTGTCATTCTAACAGCTAGATTATAAGACTAAGCAGCAGTATAAAATACAATAAGTACATAAGTAGCTGTACAAAAATAATCATCACATACTTGTGGTATGACAATGTCGGCTAGTGCTCGAGAGAGCTTGAAGAGCTCCAGTGTATCCTCCAGGCCCAGGGAGCTGTTGTGCTGCACATCATATTTAATGCAGTCATAAATGTCAGGAATCTTGCTGATGTCATAGCGTCCACTCTTCATGCGGAAATCCCTTTCCAATTTAGACCAGCGCTGAAGCATCATCTCCAGTGTCTCACTGTGGTACAGCTGTAAATCTGAGAGAGGCAGCACAAGCTCATTTAATCAAGTCATTCTTACACTGCTTTCTTTGGTATGGCCTTTAAGGGGAGCTTCATATCTGGAGATTTGCTTTGTTCTGATAAAGGGAATTTAATACTTACTAAGTTGGATAGCTTACCATCACAAGGCAACATTTCGGTGTACTAAAAAGTGTTTTTTGCAAGTCACTCCGTCAGCTCATAGTGGCTTTATATGTCGCTGTTCACACACTTGTAGAAATGTAGCTATTCCTGCTGTACCTGATAATTATTACATGATTGCTACAGGGATTCTAGAGTGCTTGTGTGAAAATGTCCTCAAAGGGATAGCTCACCCAAAAATTTAAATGAAATGAAAACATTTCATTCAAAACTCACCCCTAGTGTTTTTTTAATCCTTTGTTCAACTTCAGATAGCAAGTTAAGATATTTTAGGTGTAATTTGAGATTTCTCTCATTACTCATAGACAGCAACTGTCCCAGGACGTTCAAAGTCCAGAAAAGTGAGCTGTCTATGGAGGGCCAGAGAATTCTCAGATTTCATCAAAAATATGTTCATTTGTGTTTTAAAGATGAATGAAATTCTCAGGGGATTGGACTGAAATAAAGGTGAGTAATTAATGAAATTATTTTTTGCATAAATACTGTTTTTAATTGAGCACAGAACAATCACCTGCTGATTTGGGGTCTTCGAGTCTTTTGCGGATCTGTGAAGTGAGGCTCTGGACGAGGGTGTAGACTTGATCACATATACACACTGGATTCTCGACAGCCCTCATAGAGTTCACCAGAGAACTGCTGCATGTTGGGGCCAGCTGAAAAAACACAAGAGATGAAGTGGACACAGATGCGCCTTTCATATCAAGTCAGCGGAGGGCTGAAATACAGTTCAAAAGACACTCCAAATGTACCCTGTCATAGTCTTCTTCAGTGAAGACTTTATCTTTCTGCATGATCTCATGAAGTCTGGCTTTAACCCTCTGCTGACAGCCGCTGAGCGATTCAATATCGTTATCCAGCAGACCGTTCATATTTGCACTTTTCACCATCTGGACCAAGATGGGTGTCAGTTCTCCTTCCAACGCTAAGAGACCCTGCCAGGCAAACAACCAACGGCAGTTTAACAACCTTTGATAACTTTATACCTTTAAACCTTCGATAACCTGTTTTTGTTGTGGCTGAGGACCTTTGCAAAGGCAGCAGCAGTCATTTGCACCCTGCCTTCATCAGAGGCGTAGATCTTGAGGTCATGTCGGTAGGTGCTATGTAGCCTGAGCAAACCGCAGCCTGGAAAGCCAGCGTAATCGCCTGTAAGTGGACAAGAAAATAACATTCACAGAACAGATTAATAAAATTCAACCCTGTTCCTAGAAACACAGTCTTGTAGGATTCAGCTTCAACTCTAATCTTAACAATTATTACAGGTAGGGGTCTAATAAAATAAAATAAAATAAGCAACACGGTGGCTCAGTGGTTAGCCCTTTCACCTCACAGCAAGAAGGTCACTGGTTCGAGTCCCGACTGGGTCAATTGTCTTGATGTCAGACTAATTCTAATTCACACACACTCTGTCTTATAAGTGTACTAGTTTCACTTCTAGCTGGCTAAATTGGCCATAACGTATGTGTGTAAAAGAGTGTGTATGAGTGTTTCCCAGTACTGGGTTGCAGCTGGAAGGGCATCCCCTGTGTAAAACATATGCTGTGGTGACCCCTGATGAATAAAAGAACTAAGCTGAAGGAAAGTGAATGAATGAAAATAAAATAATGCAAGTAAAATAAAAAAATAAAGACAACGGCTTTAAAAAGACATGGTTGAACACCCCTGGCATTTTTTAGATAGTAACATAATCAAAAGGTTTTTATTTAAATGCTGCAAACAGGTTTATTTTGCAGTATTCAATTTGTATTTGGATATTGCCGACACTTTGAACTCTTTCTGACAGTAACTGGTTATCCCAGTTATGTCATGAAATCAGTAATCAAAACCCTGACGGCTAATTATATTTGCCACAAACTAAAATTAAAGTAATCTTCTCACACAAACTTGTCAAATGACTTACATGCAATATTTCATTTAAACAGTACACTTTTATTGCGCAAAAAACATAAAACTCCTCTACAGAAAACGAGGAAGAAATTAATAGCCAAGAGCAAACAAGAAAAAGGGAAGTGAATAAAGCAAATCTGCTGAACAGACACTGGGTTTAACCCCAACAACCTATCCACTTGTTAAGTGTGACATCATGCGGAGCGGTTTCCGAATCCAATCGCTCTACCAAATTCTATAGGAAAACTCAACAAATGTAATAATAAACATTTACAAAGCAACGTAATTCTAATGAAAATCTCGATCGTAATATATACATAAATATATTAATGGCTGATATGCGATGGCCAGAAAGTGATTAATTTTTATAATCTGTTAAAATATTGGTGTCTGTGATGCAGCAAGCCCTGATACTTTTGTGACACCATGATAATACAGTTGAAGTCAAAATAATTAGCCTGCCTTGTTTATTTTTTTTCTCAATTTCTGTTTAACGAAGAGAAGATTTTTTCAACACATTTCAAAACATAATCATTTTATTAACTCATTCCTAATAACTGATTTATTTTATCTTTGCCATGATGACAGTAAATAATATTTGACTAGATATTTTTCAAGACACTTCTATACAGCTTACAGGTTAATTAGGTAGGTTTGGGTAATTAGGCAAGTTACTGTACAACAAGGTAGCTTAACGGGGAAATAATACTGACCTTAAAATGGTTTCAGAAATAAAACAAATAAGACTTCTTGCAGAAGAAAAAATATTATCAGACATACTGTGAAAATTCCCTCGCTCTGTTACACATCATTTAGGAAATATTTAAAAGACAAAAGAATTCAAAGGGGGGCTAATAATTCTGACTTCAACTTTCAAATGTGCAGCGGTTTGGACCCTGAAAACTGTATTTAATAATGTCAGGTTAACAAATGAGGAGTGCTGTGTCAAGTCCCAGTTAGTCGAAGACAGAACACATAGCAAGTTTCTTTTATAATAAATAAAAAGAATAAATTATATAGTAGTCAACATTTGAAGTGGATCCAAAGATTTTATATTGTCGTAGGCTAATTTGAAATACTTTTTTGATTCACTTTAAATGTTAAGTACCGTATCAAAAATTGTGGACTCATGCAGACTTTGACAAAAAAAAATCATCTAAAGTGTGATGTGAAAAAGGCACAAGTGTAATAAATGTCTGTGTAATTGACCATACTGTACCTTGACCTCCAGGATACATGCAGCGAAAAGCCCTGCCGAGTTCTTCAGCCTGTACTCTGCCGGCTGGAGTCAGTTCTCCCCCCCACTTCAGCACCAGCAGTATGGAGGGGCCCTCCTTACGGGTATCTGAACACACAGCAGTACCATCATGCACAACACGATTTCAACCCAACAAATTTTCCTATCAACAATCCTCATACCTTCTTCCTCACTGGATGTTTTGGGTTGTCCATGAGGAAGGTATGTTAGCTGCACTTTCCTATTGATTCCAGAGAAATGGCCATACCTGAAAAAAATTTAATAAATCAAATATAAATATACAGAGATAATAGTTTGATTATGGTGTATCCCACAGCCCAACTAAAAAAACCAGCTTAAACCAGCCTAGGCTGGTTGGCTGGTTTTAGCTGGTCGGCCAGGCGGGAAGATGACCAGCTAAAACCAGCTATGTCCAGCTTAAACCAGGCTGGTCAAGCTGGTTTTAGCTGGATTTAGCTGGTCATTTTCCAGCCTGACCAGCTAAGACCAGACAGGAAATGGCTAGAAACCAGCCTGGAAATGGCCAAAACCCCTCTAAAACCAGGCTGGTCAACCAGCTAAAACCAGCCAACCAGCCTAGGCTGGTTTAAGCTGGATTTTTCAGCAGGGAGGTGTCAAACTCAGTTCCAAAAGGCCCGCAGCTCTGCACAGTTTAGTTCCAACCCTAATTAAACACACCTGATCAAACTAATTGAGTCCTTCAGGCTTGTTTGAAACCTACAGGTAGGTGTGTTGGAGCAGGGTTGGAACTAAACTGTGCAGGGCTTCGGCCCTCCAGGAATTGAGTTTGACACCCCTGGTGTATCCTATGGGTTTCAAAAAAAGTTTCACCTTCCACCTCCCTGTTTTAACTGATGTCTAAATTAAAGAACACTTCACTTTTTACAACTCCTCTAGATTTGCACAGTTGAGTTTTAACATATTTGCATCCATTCAACTAATCTCCAGGTCTGATGGTAGCACTTTAGCTTAGTTTAGCATAAATCATTGAATCGGATAAGACCATTAGCATCTTGTTTTAAAATGATCAAAAAGTTAAACCTTGACTCTTCCATAGTTACATCATGTACTAAGACCAACAGAAAATGAAAACTGCTATTTTCTAGGCTGATATAAATAGGAACTCTATTATCGTGTAGTAATAATTAAAGACTTTTACTGACTTACCACTGCTGCAGCAGGCATAATAATGTTACGCAGCACCTGAAAATAGTTCTGGATCATCTTATAAAAAAATCTCTCTAATAAATATCTGCATAGTTGCAAGGCATGCTCTATGTGCAGGAAGGTAATAACAGGGTTTACATTTACAGAAGTTAGTTTTCAGGTGCTGCATAATATCGTTGTGCCTGATGAAGCCATAGCAAGAAAATAGCAATTTTTCATTTTCCATTGGCCTTAGTATACAATGTCACTACAGAAAAGTCAAGCTTCAAACAATTTGGTCATCTATGAGCAAGATGCTAATGGTCTAATCTGATTGAATGATCTATGCTAAGCTAAGCTTAATGCCATCCCAAATGAAAGAGATTTGTGAAATAATTTTAAAAATTGTTAAACTCAACTGTTTAACTCTAGCAGAGTTGTAAAATGAGCCTAATGTCAAAAACAGTGGAGTGTTCCTTTAACGTAGCCACAGAGAACTGCCAGAACAGCTGCTCTGAAGTCGATCCAGTGCGTCTTTGCTATTGCTGAATGAATGACGCTTGACAAGGGTTGTGAAAGGGGATACTGCAATTTCATTGTGTCAATCTCACTACTGAGATACTAATAATAATGCATGTTGGAAATACACTAAACATAGTGTCCATATATATTTTAACATTCATTAACTAAATATATTTTAAGATGTGTTACAGATATTTCTTTAGATACACTACAAACATTGCTTTGTCACATAAGACAGCATGTTTTAAGAATACAGAAATTTAGGGTATTGATTAACAGCCACTGATCTGGAAAATATGTCACATGTCTAAAAAATACTGAAAGGAGATCAGCATGTAGACTGAAAGTGAGCCAGTATCCAGTTAACATCTAACTTGCTTACATTTCCAGAACTGTCTTTAGTTGTTCAAGCTTAGACTTTTTTTCTTCAATTTCACAGTCAGTATGCTGTCCTATATCTGCCAAAAGTGTCCTGGTAATGTCCAGAACTTCCTGCAAACAGAGAAGAATAGATACACTGTAGCACCACAGTTTTTAACAATAAATTCAGTTTAAATAAGTAGTTTTTTTACGATGGGAAGGAGGACATGACAGATTATAATGCCTCAGCAAACTTCCAAGAGGCCTTAAAATGCTGATTTTTAGCTTTCAGCTGCTAAAAAAAGGTCGAGCAGCTGAAAGGCTGACTAATTCACACAGACTTGTTCTCTGTTTCTAATAACTGCACTAGTATTCTTTACTAACTCTAAAAAGATATTTTGAAATTTGCAATGTAGGCTTGAGACGTGATGAACAAGAAGCTTGCTGTACTTTAGAAATTTATAGTAAAGTTAAGAAAAAAACTAACATTTTCAAATACAACATCACAACAACCTCATGAGGTGTGGCAATTATTTAGTGTAGGTGGGATAACAGACTCTGGTCAACCTAACAGATTGCAAGGAATATTCGATGATGGGTCTTTGAATCATTATGTACACCAGGGGGCATATTACAGAATGATCCTCCTAACTATCCTATCTATTTTGGTAACCACAGTCCTTTCAGTAAGTGCCACAGCATTTCCTAAGTGTGTTATCTTATCATAACTATAGATAGGAAGGTGGTATTACCTCCCAACCTCACCAAAAAAAATAAATAAATCCAAAAACGATTTTAACTTTAAAATGATTTAAGAGCTAACAAAAAAAATGGCTTATAATTGCGCAGACCAACAATGGCATTACATTTATTGATGACTGAAAATGCGTGATGGGGTTAAATGGTAAAAAGACTCTTGGAGGACCCTAAAGATGTGTTAAACTTCGATGAAAAAACACTTATATGTAATTACACACTGCCACGCAACATGACATTAGTTAGCACAGGAACTGCAGCCAGCATTAGAGAAAAACAAAGTGTCATTGAGAATTACGGGATAGTGCAAGTGACTCATGCCTTAGGTGATTTTCAAAGTGAAGTTGAAAAAATATCACAACATGGTTTGTCTAAAAGCTTGTCAGTTTTGTTTAGGCTAACTCATTAGCAGCTCACGCAGTGTTGGTCACAGACTAACAGGGTGAATTGTTGAACTCGATGACACAGATAGGATAAGTGTCCTAAATCAATTTAGAATTTGCTTCTTTAATACAAATCTGCAAACAAATTTTTTTTTTAGACCTAAAATAAGAAACTTTGTGTATGTCCACAGGTTTATTGCATTATTTTAAATAAATCAACAGAATGGAGGTAATTATTCTGCTTGTACTAGTTACCACACCTTCAATCACTGTCCAGATTTGCTGCTTCAGATATTTGTCAGATTATTGTTCTCAAACTCTTCCTGTGTGTAGAACTAGTATCTTACACCTGTCATCCTAAGCCTTCTGTTTTGTTTTGCTCTGATTTCTTACTGTTGTAGGCTGTTAAATAACTTCAATCATTTAGCTCAGTGATATGGAACTATTATGTGGTCAAGACCTGCCTGAAACTACTTTAGTGTGGTGGTTCCTTGAATAGAATTGCACCTTAGAACACAGGTGTCAGTTCCTGGAGAGCCATAGCTCTTTTATTTTTGTGCCCCTCCTCTCATCTTTCACTTGCAGCAAACTAATGGTTGGAAGAGAATGGCACATTTTGTGCAAACCATCAAACTGACATAAAAAATGAAGAACTGCCATTCCAGAGCAGATTTTGATAAAAGATTACCAAAATAAATATTTTTTTCTTCAGTTAATCAACTTTGTATAGATTAATTGTTTTAACCTTAAAAATAACAATGTAAAATAAACAAGATAGCAAGATATACATCGTGAATTTAGATTTCACATTAAAAACATAAAATAATAAATCATTACCTGCAGTTGTTTGGGTTTTTTAAGCTTCAGCTTGCCCGTTTTATACCCACCGTATTTTTCAAAAAGCTCAAAAAACCTGCAAGAAAAGAAAAAGTATTTTAATTATGTATCCATCATTCCTATTTAGTATTTCAAACAGGCAAAAAAAACGCACATGGCATTTCGCACTTCCATCTTCATCTTCTGCTTTGGTGTGCGATCTCCATGCCGGATTACAGCAATCACACAACGCAGCTCCATCCTAAAGGACAGAATTATAAAGAGCGTCAACAAGGACACTTTGAATGCTCACCAGAATTTAAATATTATCAATAAACGATGTAAACTAATACGTTTAAGCCAACATATGAGAACAACATGTGATGAGTACATTGTTCCTGATGTAGTGGGTACAATAGGAATGTCCTCTGCCTCCGTAGGTATGGACCAGGGGATCTGGAACTGAGGAGCCAGCTCCCTCATTACAATATTTCTGAAAAAAAAAAAAAAGTTAATCTCTGTTATATCTGCATGTTATATATGAAAGACAAACTTTTCAAACTTTTGGGTCTTTATTATTAGCTTTTACCCCAGTATCTTAGCACAGTCGTCATAGTATTTCATGGAATTCTTCACAAAGCTAAATCCATTGACATCACACACATATGAGTGGCCATTGGCTCGGAGGAGGTCGAATCCACACACTGTTTGCTGCAGTACAAAGAGTTTTTGAGAATAAAATACACATCAAAATCTTAACCTAAAAATGTCTCTGAAGCTGAAGCTCAGGCTGAAGCTTTCATTCTGCAGTTATTTTCTTTGTAAGATCCTCTTACCTTGAATGCCAGACAAACTTTACGAGCCACAAGCTTCTCCATGGCAGTGAGCATGACCGGGTAGCGGATTTCTTTTCCTTCACTGTCCCGCTCCACTTTTCCATCAAGAGCAGGGGACTTACGAGCCTCTGCGTGAGCGTAATCTGGCCCTACTGTGTACACCTGTGATAAAACAAACACACAAAAAAGCAAAAAACTAATAAAAATGAACAGGATATTTTCATCTGATGAACAAAAGGGAGTAAAGTTCCAAAAAAATAATTCCACAGATCTAAACGTCAGTCTATGAAATGTTTCTAATACTCTAAACATAGCATAGCTATAATTGAAATAAACAAATGTGAAAATACATTTTTGCTCTGTATAGACCAACAGCAGCAGGGTAACGCAATCCATTGAGTAGAGGAGATGGTCTGTTATTTTGTACCTTCACATCTGTGCCATCGGTTGGCATGAACTCTTCATAGATGTAGGAGCCAGTTTTTCTCACACTGCTCTCTGGAGAGTAAACACTACTTCTGCTCCCAATCTGAAACAGAGACACATTTACACTTGTTATTTACAGTATTCACAGTCTTCGGCTTAGACCCTTTATCATCAGGGGTTACCACAGTAAAATTAACTGCCAACCTATCCAGCAATTGTTTTACACAGCAGATGCCCTTCCAGCTGCAACCCAGTTCTGCAAAACATCCGTACACACTCATTCCCACACACACACACACACACACACACACACACACACACACACACACACACACACACACACACACACACACACACACACACACACACAGCAACGCCCAATTTAGTTAGTTCAATTCACCTCTGCAGCATTTCTTTGGACTGTGGGGGAAACCAGAGCACCCGCAGGAAACCCACGTTAACATGGGGAGAACATGGAAACTCCACATAGAATTGCCAACTGATCCAGCCGGCACGGGAACCAGCAACCTTCTTGCTGTGGGGCAACAGTGCTGACCACTGAACCACTGTGTCGCACTAAAAGGTAATTAGATAAACTAAAGTTCCAGAAACATAGCTACTACAATTCGATTTCGGACTGCAAATTATAATTATTTTTATAAGAATACATAATTTAAAAAGACACCAGAATTTATGTGTTAACACAGACCATTGCCAAATTTAAATTAATTAATTAATTTAAATTAACCAATTTGAAAAGGAACTTTTCTTTTGATTTATATGAATAAAGGGTCAAGATGGCCCAAAAATGTGTGTGTGTGTGTGTGTGTGTGTGTATATATATATAATGAAATAAATGAGGAAATCACCCTTTACCCTTACCTTTAATCGAATACAGTTTGCTATGTTTACTTTCAGCCCCCAGCTCTCAATTAAGCTTGGATTTTGGCCTTTCATAAGAAAAAGTTTGGGCATTCCTGGATTAGAATGTAACAAAACTTATAGATGATTGGGCAGGATTTGCATACTGTAAGTGTGTTCTAGGGAAATTCCTCTATCAAATGAAAACACAATAGACTAAAGGTTGCTAGAATCTAAACCAAAAGTTTGTAGTTCTAACTGAAATGGCTTTCTTTTTGCGCATCATTCTCTTGTAGCAAACTACCGGTAACATTTTTTAAAAACATTGTGTCTGAAGCCATCAAACTGACATCAACAGAGAAGGATTGTGAGTTGCCAAATGCCAAAGGAAATGGTCAGATTTTGATAGATTACCAAAAAAAACTTTTTTCAGTGTATTAACTTGCAGCACGGTGGTGTAGTGGGTAGCACAATCGCCTCACAGCAAGAAGGTCACTGGTTTGAGCCCCTGGGCTCACTGGTTTGAGCCCCGACGGGGTCAGTTGGCGTTTCTGTGTGGAGTTTGCATGTTCTCCCCGTGTTGGCGTGGGTTTCCTTCAGACGCTCCGGTTTACCCCACAAGTCCAAAGACATGTGATACAGATGAATTGGGTAGGCTAAATTGTCCGTAGTGTATGTGTGTAAATGAGTATGTATGGATGTTTCCCAGTGATGGGTTGCCCCTGGAAGGACATCCGCTGCTTAAAACATATGCTGGATAAGTTGGCGGTTCATTCCGCTGTGGCAAACCCAGATTATTAAAGGGACTAAGCTGAAAAGAAAAAGAATGGATGAATGAATGAACTTGCACCAATTGATTGCTCATCTTAAGACTAACAATTTGTGCAAAATAAACATGGAAAATTTGAATATAAGAACTAATTTCAGTTCACATGTATAAAAAACTGTCCTTTTTATTACATTCTGCACATGCAGTGGTTAAAAATAACACTGAATATTTCTGGAGTCATGTATGCCAACCAAAAAACCCCAAAACAAGTATAGTTAAACAGCCATTGCAAAAAAAAAAAAAAAAGACCTTTCTGAAGAGGCGCTGACTGCCTCCTCCGGCTGAAGTTGGGTAGTAGATGTACACATTATGGTCCTCGGCAGAGACTGGTTTCTCTACAAAAGGTTTTAGAAACACTTCGCCATTAACCTCAACTTGGTCTTCTGCCTCAATCAGGTTACACTCTGTGTCAAAACACAAGAAAGATAAGGCCAATCAGAACAGTGCTCCAGCGATTAAAACAATATCTGAGCACATATACAGATAATACAATCACTGTTTAAAATATGACCCTAATGTGGATTTACAACTGGGTAAATATAGCCATCTGACTGTCATTTGTTTAGAGAAGGATAAATTTATCCAGGTCCTCAGGGAACCGTCATAGCTGCCAAGAACATAATGCCTCATTGGACACCAGACGGTCACATCATGAGCCTCAGAGCAATATTTGTGTCTTTGGCCTGTGAAACACTTAAAATTGCTCCACATGAGGGACTATATTTACTCAGAGCTAGAATAAATCAGAGCAGGGACAAAGCAGGACACTTAGCTAAGATTAAAATCAAAGTTCACCCAGAAATGAAAATTCTGCTATAGTCTCTTTTCCTACAATTGATGTCAATGGCTGCTTCTTTCAGTTTATTTTGTGATCAACAGAAGAATTGAATATAAAAGATTCAGAACCATTCGAGTGTGAGTAAATGGTGGGAAAATATTTGAAGTGGATCAAATGTTTTTCAATATTGTCCTACGGTTGAGAGGTACTGCAGAAACACCAGCTGAACTTTTTTTTCTGTTGTCAAGGAAAGTGCCGCATTTTTAAAACACCGGCTATAGGCAGGCACTGAGTGTGCGTTTTATGCTCAGGGCTGAGCACTCAGCATTTTTTAAAGGCTTTGACAGTTAGAGAGGAGCACACAGCTGAACAGTGTTTACGTTTTCGGAGCGAAAAAAAAAACAACTAAACGGTTCGGTGGACATGCAACCTAACGGTGTGTTTCCACAACAGCATCAAATGAGATAAATCCACACGGACCAGCCTCATTAAATGTCAGATTTTTTTTTTAAACAGTGATCTTCACTGCCTGAAACTATAGATATAAAGTGGGTCTCAAACTGGACAAGAAGCACTGCATTATATTCTAATTTTCCCCGCAATGTCTTCAAAATATGACAATTTATTTTACCACAGTATTTTAAATGGAGTTTCTGCGCACGCTTTTCACTTTGTTTTACGCTTAAACAACTAAACGAATGCTTGAGTTTATTTAATTGAATGTATTTAATTACATTACAACATCAATGCTGTAAAAGGAACCAAATCAAATTGAAAATGGTTACATTAAGCTTTCACCGGAAGTTTATCATTGGCTGAAAAACACTAGCTGTGCATTAGTGGTGTAGCGCATCACAAATCTCACAATTCGGATCACATGGTTTTTAGTCATGGATCGGACCATTTTCATCCAAAAAGCAGAAAAAGAGGAGACAAATGTAATTTGCCTTCCATTTATTACAAAAACAATACTGCAAGACATGTTTGGTTGTAAAAAAAAACCAAACATAATAGACCTGTAATTATATTACAAAAAATTGAAGAAATAATCAGTTGAATAAAAATAAATAGTAAAATATTCAGTAGTGTGAACATTTCACTGTTACTACTACTGTTGCTGAAAACACTAAATGTAAACATCAGTGGTTCTATCTAAACCATAAACTTTTTTTTCAGTGCTTCTGTGTTATTTGTCTGTTTTTATAATTAATAATCTTCATAATCAATTAAGACTAAAGACTCAATCTCTTTCTTGATTTTTGCATTTTTCAAACACAGATTTGAATGCAGCTATTTGAAGGATTAATCAACCTATGAAAATAACAGCCATTTATAATTTATGTTGCGTAGGTGTTGAGATCCTGATCTTTTACTGATTAACCGTGCAGGTTACACTGAAAGCATTGATGCAGGATAAACAAGTAGTGACAGAAAACATCCAGAATAACCTACCACAACTTCCGTCATCATTATATTTTACAGGAAAGGCTAAATGTTTTCATACATGTTATTTGAATGATGCAAGAGGCGATCTCTCTGTGATTGTTGCAAATTTAGGATTAATCTACAAGTAAAAAAATGTGTGTGTTCCGAACCGTGGATTGTGACCTGTACGAATCACGAATCAACCATGATCCGTTACATCCATACTGTGCATATACACCATTTGCACTTAATGCTGCTGGCAATGCCTCAACACTATTGCTCTAGAGCATGTGATATGTTCTTACATAGGCTGCTCTTAGCGCTTCCTCAATGCCACTTTTCCATAATGGTCCATCTGTTTGACCATTTACACTGAGCGTCCATATGATTGAAATGAAAATGCTCACAAGATTTAGGACAACTTTGATAAAATGTGTTGATCCACTTCAAAAATTGACCACTGTATACGTCAGTGTTGATTGATGAAATTAAACATGAACATAACAATAGACTAGGGCTGAGTGATAAAGGCGCAGGGCGCAAAAGCATTAAGGGTACACTTTTGCTATTATAAGGAAGGAAAAATACAATCTGCGCCTTGGTGCATGGTCTTACAGGGTTAGCTTAATATAAGCTTATTCAACTAATGAGTTATAGGTTTGTTTTGAGAATAAGTCAATCAGAGTCTCGTCTCCCATTCCCTTAAAGAGTCAGTTGCATCGCGCCATTGCGCATTTGCTATTAACATGTTCGACTTTCTAGGTGTAAAACTGAACGCTTCACTAGCGAGAAAACAATTAAACAGACCATAAAGAAATGAGCCTCCTCCAATAAGCTTTTACTTTCCTTTTCTCTCTTTCTTGGATAAGGAAAGAATGTTGTCGGCTACGCACAGATATCTATTAGCCTACATAATTAAATTGTTTGTTAAGCGCAAAGATTTGTTTAAAACTATTTCTAAATTAATTTCTAATTTCCAGCAAATGAATAAATGAACAATAATAATGAACTCTGGTCAAAAAACTGAGTTATATCCAAACACATTATATGACACACATAACCATATGGTCCAAAACCTGACAGGAGGACAAATCTAAGCTTGTTTTTAATGAAACAAATATAAGTATGCATACAGTATAATAAATAATATTGCAAATAATAATAACATTATACAAAAGTAAACTGTCATGAATAAACTAAAAAAAAAAAGCCCCCTACATGAAGAAGGCATGGTGGTTTTTATATTAATGTAGAAAATAATAATTTTTGTAATATTTTAATGCTTTATTTTTTTTATTTGTAAAGATATTTGTGCGCTGTACATCCTGTAAGTATTAAGCAATGTGTAAGCGAAGCGCGCAACTAACATGCTCTGCGCTGGACTTTAGACCTGCTCTCAACTGGTCTATTGCGAAGTCTACTACAGTTCCTCAAAATAGCAACGCACCAGCAATACGCATTAACACACCTCTTTTCTTGAAACACCCATGAGTCCACAAAACGGTACAATTGAATTTGTTATTTAAACAACGTGGCAGAAAACAGAAAAATTAAGATGGAGCTGAACTGAAAATAGCAACACGTTGAGGCAAACACGACTTGCACATTATTGATCTGGGTGTATGATAGGGCTCTTTACTTGATTTGGATTATTTTATTTATTTATTTATATATATTTGCCCTAATAGTTCACTGACAAGTTGTATATGCCATCTAAAGGCATCTCTCGGGCAGCTTTCAATAATCATCAATGTAGTGCAAAGTAAGGCTCAAAAATGGGTCCATTGTCCTACTTGACCAGAGATAAGATGTGGCTGCAAAGTGGCCGCAGAAGTAGAAATCAGCCACAGCCTTTAACAAAGTAGGGTCACATGACACGTAGGGAAAGTAAATGAAAAAATTGTCCTGTAAAAATGTGATCAATAATAGGTTCTGAACGCAGATTTCGATTACTTTGACTAATCTCCTAAAACTTTTCAACTAAAACTCCTCAAAATAAAATCAAGAAAAACACTTTAGATATTCCAAGCTTTCAAATGCTTGTTTAAAATAAGCTTTGACTGACCATCAGGCTTGTCAGGGTCACGGTTTAACACTGCGTAGCGTGGTAGATCAATCCCCTCCTCCTGCAGGATACGATAAACCTCTCTCCTAAAATATGAAAACAACAGACAAATCCCTTATTCAGGCATCAGCTACAATTCAAAAATGTGTGCAAACATGAGAGATCATTTGCAAAACTGCGATTAATGAAAAATATGGTAATACCTATCCTGTATGTAATACTGCATGTTAAGATCATTGATAAGCAGTGGGTTACGGAGCTTTGCATAACTCACTGCTTTATCCAAGGGGAAACCTAGTTCAAGAGAAAACATTACTGTCACACAGATGCAACACACAGACATCTTATCAGTTACATTGATATATCACAGAAGAGGCTTAAGACTTATTTCTCTTTTTTTTAAATGGGTGAAATCCAGTCATTTTAAAAAGAGTCTACACGGGCAAATCGGCCACTTAAATTTGTAACATTGTTTGAAAGAAAGCTGCTTTGTTTGAAAATAAATGTGCTGTGCGTCATACCTCACTACACTATCAACGGCAGACAGAAACCTTACCAACGTGGTCACATCTTTATTGTATCTCTTTAGATTAGTTAAAAGGATTATCCACCCAAAATTCTCAATTTTCATTATTTACTCACCCTTCACTTGTTCAAAACCTATTTGAGTTTCATTATTCTGTCAAACACAAAAGAATATATATATATATATATATATATATATATATATATATATATATATATATATATATATATATATATATATATATATTTTAAGGCTCCTGGTTGCAAGATTATAATAGTTTTGGATTTTATATTAGTTTTAGTTTTTATTTCGTTTTGACCTTTGTTTTTCAAATTCAGTTAGTTTTAATTAGTTTTAGAGGCAGATTTACTAGTTTTTATTAGTTTCTATATTTTGAAATGGTTTAGTTTTAGTTTAGTCTTTATTAGTTTCAGTATTAGTATTAGTTTTTTTTTACTTTAAATTAGGATATATGTTAGGTGCGTTTGTTGCAAGATTCAAAATCATCAGAATAAATATTTAATATTTATATTTAATATTATATTAATTATTATTATTATTATATTATATTAATATTTTAATATTTAGTATAATAAAAACTCAACCAAAGATGGGCTACATTACACAAAAACAATACCATCTACCACTACCATCAACACATCCTCAAATTCAAATACAGCAACAAGATAGCAGCCCTAAGTAAAATATGTGTGCAAGGCTGCTTCTGAGGTTAAACACACAGTAGTGATGGGAAGATTGGATCATTAACACAAATTGGTTCAATTGTGTCAATCTTTCCAAGTTTGGACTCAAAATATCAAAAAAGTAGTCATCATAATTTCAGTCAGTTAAAACACCACCATGATCTGAAAAGTTTCTTACAGTTAAGTTTTGAAACCCAACTGAAGAATGATTCACTTATTTAAATTCCATTATGATTTTCTGTTATCAAATAAACTTAGATTTCTCCAGATCCTCTCATTTAAGCCCTCGGTTTACCCACACTGCAGCTGTTCTCAAGTTTTAATTCAATAACAGCTAGCTGCCATGTACTGTACTGTTTGTGTTAGGTTCTCTAAATCACGCATGCGCAGTATTATCGGTTCACCAATTGTCAATTCTGTTCTCTGTGTTTCCTGTTCTATTAACTGAACAACTCAATATATAATGGTTTATTTCGAGTCAGATGGCGGTATCAGGCATGTTAATAGAGGAGTTACCAATCCACGTCACACGGATTCCTGGTTGCAAAAAGAGAACGGTTGCAATAGCAAACATGTCGTGTTGTGCGGTAGGATACCAAATTCTTAACTTTTACCATACACCACACTGCTTTTAATGGCAGACAACTTTGGCTAAAAGGGAGCTGAATGAAGTGATGACCTAATTAAAAATGCTGGACTCTGCACTCATTTCATGTCAGGTAAGTTCACGCAATGCTGAATCATACATGTTACTCATTTTTAATTGCAGCAATGATTTCAGCAAAAACAGTTAAATATGGTGAGTTAAACTGCGGACTGAATGCTAAGAATGAAACAAAAACATGTATGTTAACATACCCTACGTAAAAGTGCAGTTTGCTGTCAGAATGCAGTTTTGCTTGTTGAAAGTTACCCTGGCCTTGCATAGCTCCATCTTTTTTCCCTTGTCTTTTGCGTCATTACACATGTACAAGTACAATGCAACGAAATGCAGTTTAGGTCTAACCAGCAGTGCAATAGCAGCAAGTGCAGGATACAGGAATAAGTTATAAAGTGCAGTTATAGAAAACTATGGTGATATTTACAGATGGATGTACTATGAACATTATATACAGGTTGGATAAGCTAAGAACAGATTTACAATATATGAATATATGTGCAGGTTGCTATTAATAATCAGTAGTGTGCAGATAAATAAACATGATTACAAGTGTATGTGTTACAATATATGAATATCTGTGCAGGTTGCTATTAATAAACAGTAGTGTTCAGATAGATAAACATGATAACAAGTGTATATGTTACAATATATGAATATATGTACAGGGATAGATGAACATGATTACAAGTGTATATGTTACAATATATGAATATATGCACAGGGATAGATGAACATGATTACAAGTGTATATGTTACAATATATGAATATATGTACAGGGATAGATGAACATGATTACAAGTGTATATGTTACAATATATGAATATATGTACAGGGATAGATGAACATGATTACAAGTGTATATGTTACAATATATGAATATATGTACAGGGATAGATGAACATGATTACAAGTGTATATGTTACAATATATGAATATATGCACAGGGATAGATGAACATGATTACAGGTGTATATGTTACAATATATGAATATATGCACAGATTGCTATTAATAGTCAGTAGTATGCAGATAAATAAGCATGATTACAAGTGTATATGTATAGTGGATGTGTACATAATTACAAATGCCCATATGCAGTGGGTACGTACAGTTCAATAAGTAAACAGTTCAATGTGGTGCAGTGAATGTGCAAATTTTAAATGTGCAAATGTTAAACAGTGCAGTTATTGCGAGGAGTTTAAGTTAGAGGAGTGTGGGGTGTGTATTGAAGGGGGCAAAAGAGTCAGTGTGGGGCAGAGCTCAGGAGGGAGACAGCTCTGGGGAAAAAGCTGTTCCTCAGTCTGCTGGTTTTTGTCCAGGGGAGCCTGAAGCGCCTGCCGGAGGGCAGGAGAGAAAACTGTCTGTGAGCAGGGTGAAAGGTGTCCTTCAGAATACTGCGTGCTCGGCGCAAACAGTGTTTCTTCTGGATGTCCTCTATGGCTGGCAGTGTGGTCCCTGTGATGCGTTAGGCAGTTTTCACCACCCGCTGCAGTGCCTTACGCTCAGCAACAGAGCAGCTTCCATACCAGACTGTGACACAGTTTGTCAGGATGCTCTCTATTGTGCAGCGGTAAAAGTTTACCAAGACGGCTGATGAAAGCTGGTTCTTCTTCAGTTGCCTTAAGAAGAATAGGCACTGGTGAGCCTTCTTGATCAGGCTGGAGGTGTTGGTGGTCCAGGAAAGGTCCTTTGAGATGTGGGTCCCCAGGAACTTAAAGGATGAGACAGGCTCAACGGCCATCCCATTGATGTGGATGGGATCATGTGAGCCTGTTCGTCCCTTTCTGAAGTCCACAATGAGCTCCTTGGTCTTGTTGGTGTTAAGGAGCAGATTATTGTCGGTGCACCAAGTGGCCAGATGCTGTATCTCCTCCCTGTAGGCCGTCTCATCATTGTTGCTGATTAGACCAATCACTGTGGTGTCATCTGGAAATTTGATGATGGTGTTGGATCTATTAACAGGCCTACAGTCAACGGTAAAAAGGGAGTAGAGGAAGGGGCTCAGCACACAGCCCTGTGGTACACCAGTGTTGAGTGTGACGGTGGTGGAGCAGATGTGGCCTGATCTAACATTCTGAGGTCTGTTAGTCAGAAAGTCCATAATCCAGTTGCAGAGTGATGTGTCGATATCCAGGTTCCTTAGTTTGATCAGTAACTTGGAGGGTATGACAGTGTTGAATGCTGAGCTGAAGTCCACAAACAGCATTCGTGCATAAGTGTTTTTATTGTCCAGGTGTGTGAGTACAGAGTGTAGTGCTATAGAGACTGCATCCTCTGTGCTCCTGTTGCCACGGTAGGCAAACTAATGTGGGTCCAGTGTGGGTGGCAGAGAGTCTTTTAGATGTGCCAGGACCAACCGCTCGAAGCACTTCATGATGATGGGTGTGAGTGCTACAGGCCGGTAGTCATTCAGGCATGTTGGGCTACGTAGTACATAGTATTGAATCTGATAATCATGGAACATTATTTCTTGCACATGACCACACAGAACATTATTGTTGGCATCCAAAGACTTTAAGCCTTTAACTTCTCTCTTGTGAAAACACTTGGAGCTTCAATGAGATTGTATATTTGGGGCTGGATGCCGCTAACTTTAACGTTAATTTTGCCAAATAACTGTGCTTATCACTGGGTGACAAGCTATTAAAATATGCTGAAAGCATTATGTAAATAATATATATACTATGTTATCAATATAACTTTAGACAATACAGTTTTAGTTAGTTCTAGTTTTTTGTATTTTTATTTCAGTTAATGAATATTCTACTTTTCGTTTATTTTCGTTAACTTTAATAACCATGGACGGTTGATGGGACCCATTGACTTCCAAACTAATCTGTTAAATAGATGATGAGTAAATGATGAGACAATTTTCATTTTTGGGTGAACTATCCCTTTAATGACGCAGGACTGCTTCATTGACTCGTTTTATATTTCAGACTTCAGTAAAGAAACTTGATCTTCAACAGGCTTAAAGGGCAAAAACCCAAGACATACCTTTGGAGTGAAATGAGATCAGGCAGTCGCAGAGTGGCCACTTCTCAACCGGCTCATTTAGAATGACATCCTCAGGAAAGATGACCACTGTTATGTACTCAAACTTGCAAAGGCGCTCCAAGATTTGAGTCATGGGTTTGGACTTGGATTTCTTCATCATACAGCAAATCCCCATCACGATCTGACGCTCTGGAGGCTTTAGAGACAAAAGAAAGATTTAAATGAGCATCTACCTAGACCAGGGATGCCCAAACTCGGTCCTGGAGGGCCAGTGTCCTGCATAGTTTAGTTCCAACTTCCTTCAACACATTTGCCTGGAAGTTTTAGTATAACTAGGATGAGCTTGATTAGCTGATTCAGGTGGTTTAATTGGGGTTGGAACTGAAATATGCAGGCCACCGGCCCTCCAAGACAAGTTTGGGTACCCCTGACCTAGACATGCCAAACTCAGGACAAAACTGCATGAGGGAGGACAAACTCATGTGGTCAGTTCTAAAAGGTTAAACTAAGACACTGTTTATTTGTTAACTGTTGTCTTCTGTATGATTTTGTTTACTACATATAATCAAGAACTTTTGAAGCTTGTAATGTTTTAAGCATCTATTGCTTTACTTTGAGCACATAAACATCATATTCAGAGCTCACATAAAGGGAAAGTTCACCCAAAATTAACAATTCTGTTACCATTTGCTCACCCTTTGACTAATTCATCTGTTGAACACACACACATACACAAAAATATATTTTTGAGCATTTGTTTTTCTACTATGGACGTCAATGCTTATCTTTTCCCAGCATTTTTCAAAATATCTTTTGTGTGTGTGTGTGTCAATGGTTACAGGTTTCCATCATTCTTCAAAATATCTTCTTTTGTGGTCAACAGAAGAAAGAAATTGTATTATATTTAAGTTATTTTTTAAGTTCATTTTTGGCTGAACTATAAATAATATTTTTATTTATTCCATTATTTATCAGAGGTTGCCACAGCAGAATGAACTGCCAACTTATCACGCATATGTTTTACGCAGCGGATGCATTTTCAGCCGCAACCCAATACTGAGAAAATAAATAACATATATATATATATATATATATATATATTTATACACTATATATATTCTGAGAAAAGCGACAATAATTAGATATACACACAAAGACCAAAGCATCGTCAAATAAACATGTCAAAATAAACATTTGACGTGAGAAAAAAAATAAAAATTAGCTGCTTATTACCAGTTAGTAAGATGGAAGTTGGGATTAGGTTTTGGGTAGGATCAGAGGTGTAGAAATAAGTACAGGGCTCGAAATTGCGACCATTTTGGTCGCATATGCGCCCGAAAATTAATCTATGCGACCTAATAATATATTTTGGCGCATTAGTGCGACTGCTGATAATGGTTGTAGTGCGACCTGTTTTGATTTTTTGTAAAAACGTGCTGAATCGCTCTTCCCTGCCGCTATATTGGTTCCTATTAGCTGTCAATCACTCAAGACTTTCCGCTGTTAGATGACAAGGAAGGAGCTTTTATGACCACGGGAAATACAAACGGCTGAAGAGTAAAAACTTAAACTTACTTTCTCTTGTCTATTCTTTTTTTAGGTGTATATTATTTTTTATTTATTTACTGATGACTGTTTTGCAGCTTTCAGCATTGAATTGAATTATTTATTATAATATTTTGTTTGTTTTGTAGCATAAATATTATTTATTAAATTGACATGCATATAAAAACAGCAGTACAAAATCCATATTTCTTACTGCAATGCTTCATTTTTGTTTGATGCAAACTATACATTTATTTTTCATAAAGTAACAGACTTTTTATAGCAGATATTCATGCACGTCGTTTAAGGCAGCATCATAATGAGAAATGTAATTCATTGTTACTATTATTGTCATTTTCATCATCATTAATATTCTATAATTATTAGACATTCATTTTGGAATTATTGCACAAATATCAATGTCATCACAGCGATAGTTGTTTCTGTTTTTTGTTAGTCCTATTGATGTTGTTTTAAAATACAGCAGCAGTGCTCATTCATTTTTGATGGGTGCTCCTAAATTTTTTCTGGTGCTCCTAAATTTTTTCTGGTGCTCCTAAATTTTTTTTGTGCTCCTAAATATTTGAAGTTGGGAGCACCGGTGCTACCAAGTAAAAAAGTTAATTTCGAGCCCTGAAGTAAATATTAAAAAGCTACTTAAAAAACTTTTAATAAAGCATTAACAGGCAGGTAATAAGCCGGCAGTTAATAGCAAGAATTAAACTACAGTGTTACCAGAAAATTTAAGAATATTGTTGATAATGGTAGTAACAAACCTTTTAAAGTTTCTGAAACTGCCTAAAATATTAAAACTATAGTAAAAACTATTAAAATTAAAGTTAAAATGTTAAAACTATCAACATCGAGTCACTAAAAGTTACAAAATCAGAAATAAATTTAGTTCATCAAATGAAGAAAAAATATAATAGTAATAAAAGAGCTAAATTTAGGGGAAAACGGTCCTATAGTTTTATGACCATGCTCAAGGAAAATTTCCTGACCGATGTTTATGTCCTAAAACTACTAAACCAGGCATAAGAAGTAGAGATGCTTAGATCGATTGGCCGGAGATTGTTATCAGCAGATAATCACATTTAATGACTGTTTAATGGCCGATCTCATTAACCAATTGCAAGTGCAAACTTTTTCTTGATTGAGACATGTTGAATTCTATTTCATTTGCCATGTTTCCAAATTACATTGTAAGTCGTTTTTCTTACCTTTTTTTCTGTTTCATTTATTGTTTTCTTTAAAGCTACTTCTGGCCATGACATGTTCACAGCTAAATGGTTATGAGTTGTGTTTAAGGTATTGTATGCAGCATCTTTCATTTATTCTCTTTGGAGAGATATACACTCAAGTATCATACTTAGAGGAAAATGTGCTTTATGCATTATAAGGCTTAAACCATCAGAATCCGTACTCTGTATCAGCCAATCACCATGACAAGAAATCGATATTTGGCATCGGCTGCAAAAATCCTGATCAGAGCATCCCTAATAAAAACCATTTCCTGCAAAACCCCTTCATCAGAAAAGGCACTCAATCCATACCGAGTCATCCTCCAGGTCGTCTTCGTACAGCTCCATGTCTGTCCTCATGCTGGCGTAGTCGTCCAGGCCCTCGCTCTCATCCTCCGCGCAGCCCACGAAGAATCTGGGAGCGCCGCGCTGGCTCTCGCCGGGGCTGCTGGGCTCTGACATTACAGTCCACAGCGGCAGCGACCCACTGCTTCCTGCCGCGCCATCTCACAATACCACACCCAGCTGGAAGGGCACGAGGCCAAACCAGCTTTGTACCCAGCCTGCAAGAGCTGTGGTGGGGTTTATCAGTTTTGTGTGTGAGGGTCCGAGAAGAGATAAAAAGGCTGAATGACGCCTGCCAGTGTACGGGGAAATAGTTATTGGGAAGGATATGAAGTGATGGATCGATAACACAAATCCATTCTGCTGAATACTGGAGCTTTTTGGTTGTATTTTGGAAGAAGTTTTTCTCCAGGTGTCCTGATGTACTCAAAGACTGAACTGGAGGATGAAATGAAGCATCTTGTTTCCTAGAAAAACAAACAAAAAATAATAATAATTATGATTATAATAATAATAATAATTCCATCCATTAATATGGCGCTTTTCTGGACACTCAAAGGGCTTTATACATTTTTAGGGGGAATCTCCTCATCCACCAATAGGCTTAATCAGTCAGTGAATCTGTATGTAAATCATCATCTCTATTGGAGTGGATGTGGAGTGATGTTTGTATTAGCAAAGGGGCAACAGAGGTTTGTATTTTTCTTATTGAATGAAAGGGATCATTGACAAACAGTCTGCCATCAATAGCATGTCAGATGTATATAATTATATTTGCTATATGTTTAAAACACAAATAAATATATATTTGATATTTGAAACCTAAGGGATTTGTCTCACTGAATGTGAAGCTACAAAAAGTAAAAAAGAGATCTAAAAGCAACCCATATGCGTAATTGACCAGTTGTTCACATATAAACAGTGATAAATAAACAAATTCAACACTCAAATATCATAAATGGAAGTAGGGCTGCACAATATTGGACAAAAATGACATAGCAATACTTTTTCTTCCCATGTGATACATATTGTCATATTGAGTACATTTTCACCAGATGACTGGTATAGTTCTATTTGGAAAAAGTCATCTGCATAAAATACAATAAATCAATCATAAGTATTGAGAAGCAATTGATAAATGACATTGATAAGAGACAGTAAAGCAAAAATGCAAGTGAAATAAACAGGTTTCTGGGAGTCTAGCAATATTCAGGTACACAAACTGAGTTGTCAAATGTCAAGTATAACACAGTTATACACGAGTATAACACGGTTATACAGTTACAATTAATCTTTTTTATAGTTACAAACATTATAATGTCTTATGTCTGAATGATTTATCTGGCTTGAGATGTTCACACAGTCACAAGTCCTAAAAACACTTGCAAATGACAAGCATTTCAGTAACTTTATAAAATGTAAATGTACAAATGAAATCAAACATATAAAATATGTCAAAGATGACAAAAGGATAAAATATGTCTCATGGAAAGCTCATACGTCTTATGTAAAAAAAAGAGATGAGTAAAAGAAGAAATAAGTTGACCTTATAGAAGAATTATGTGTGTGGTAAAGAGGTGGGAAAATAATAAGCTTGTGCTTCATCCCGCTCCATTTCGACTATGTTTAAATTTATTTTTTTTGTTAATTTTCAGGTATGATATTTTTGCTTGAAATAAATAAATCAAATCAAATCAAACTTTATAATTTCAGGAGTGTTTTCAACTGTGTCTTCTGGTCAACTTTAATCTCGATTCGACAATGCAGATCTTGAGATGTGACGATTGCAGATGCAAACATTGCAATGCTAAAATAATATATTGTAAAGCCCTATATAGAAGCTTAAACAAATTTTAAATATACATTTTGATTGAGATTGTTTGCCAAAACTTAGATATTTCTCTCCTCCTTAAGTGGTGGTAAACCTTTATGAGTTTATTTCTTTTATTTCCTTTCTTCAAAATATTTTCTTTTGTGTTCAACAGAAAGAAAAACATCAAACAGCTTTGCAACAAGTAAAAGGAGAATAAATGATGACAGAGTTTAAAAATGTTTTGGTTAACTACATCTTTAAATAAGAAAAATCTATGTTCATTTTACGAATTAAATGAAAAATCATTTATACTGACTAAAAGGTATTCAGTTAAGAACAGTGAGTGATTTTTGTATTTGTCTTTTTCAGTTAAAGTCTGTGTGAAACCTAAATTTACAATGCTTATATTGCTATCTGTGTTTATTCGGTGTAACACCAAACAAATTCACCAATTAAAAAAGTTATGTGATTTTTGAAGCACAATTTGATGTTTTAAAATAATTTTTGAAATGATGTTTATCATATCTTTTGAGCACTGACTAAACATGTCACAAATACAAAACATCATTTGATCTGATCCTAATTATTTGACATAACCATGATAACAGTGCTGTGAACATTTTAGTTAAAGTTTTTTCCTTCTGACATTATATTTTATTAAGGTTTGCTGCAAAAAAACTAATTCAAGTCAATTCATCTTTATTTCTATAGGACTTTTACAATGTCAAAGCAGCTTAACACAGAAGTCCTAGTAAACTGAAACTGTATCAGTCTGGATTTCAGAGTTGAAGTTCAGTTTAGTTTAGTTTAGTTCAGTGTGGTTTAGTTTTCACTGCTGAAAGTCTAAACACTGAAGAGCAAATTCATCGATGCACAACAAGTAAATATTTAAACTGTTATATACTCTTTTCTCAGCATTACAGCAAATCAAATGTGCTTATTTAAATATATTTCCAAAAAAAACTAAAAATGTAAAAGTAAAATCAGTAACTAAAGTGATCAGAAAACTAATCGGCTCTATTCATGTGGAATACTTTGAGATCCCTTCATTAAATTCTTAAGGCATCAAAGCTTTGGCAAAACGGACAGAGGAACTGGAATCTCTGTTAGCCCTATAACTTGCTTTGCTTTAGTTTCGGTGGAGTGCCGTCATAGCGAATCATTACAGTTGTGCTAAAATCAGTCTACAAAACAGTTTACTTAATAGCTTTCTAACTGGTTTAGTCTTGATGACATTCAAAGTTTTTTTTTTTTTTGGTTTCTTGTAAAAGAAGAAATGTATGAGCTTGCTTTTTAAATACATTCAAAATAACAGCACTCTTTGCTTGTGTCACAGTGCTTAATTATCATGCTGGCACTCATGTTACACTTTCTGCCCTCACGTCAGCGAATTCTCCAGTCGAGACTGACCACAGAGCTCTCTTCTCAGAGGTTTGTGTCACACTGCAAAATCAGCCTTTCCCGTTCCCAGATTGACCGAATTATAAACTCATCTGTACTTAGGTTGTAGCTTTTGTTTAGTCTCTAAACAGGAAAATGACTCCCCAGTGTCTCAGTTTACAAACCTGCTTTCACAGCAAACATTTTTCTGTACAGAATCAACTCCAAAACATGAAGGTGGGGATAGCAAGCCTGAACGATTCTGAATCCCATTTCCTCTTTTGCTCCTGATATTGCATAGTTGTTTACTTGCGATCATACATGCATACATTTTCATAATAACTGGTTTTCATATTTAAAATACACTTAAATAATCATATATAACAACTTGAATGATAAATAAACACGCATATAGATTACAAGCACTAAATTCTACTAAAATTAACTAAATTCTCAAAAAAAAAAAAAAGGTTATTTTATTATGTTCAGTTATTTTCAATTGACCATACTTTGAAACCATTACTGACACATGTTATTTTGGGTAAAGCTGGTTCCATACTTAACACGATTATCTCTCAGCTGCACATAGTATTAGAACTTCAGAAGTATTAGACTCTTAAAATCCCCTATTTACACCTGTTCAATTGCTCGAGGATCTCCAACAGCTCTAGAGGTTGTCAATGAGCCCTGCATAAGCTGTACACCTACACCAACATGCTATACAAATTGTGCAATTGTTAAATAGCGAAGGTGACGTGTGTGTTCATCGGTTCATGAATAATGTGTATGTAATTTCACACTGCACGTATATGAAAACATAGTATTACGCGTGTGTAACTGTGACAGGACAGTCTACGTATCAGGTTACTAGGTAACAGTTTCAAAGCCCCACATCAATGAACACTGTTTTCCCTTTATAACAAGCAAACAATCATGGGAACATTACATAACAGTCTAATGAAACCCTAAACATTACAGCAGGGAATACTGATTTTAAAATATTTATCTTGCCGCTTTCCATTTACAAATAACGTTCCTTATAGAGTAAACGTGACTACGTTAGGTTGTGAAGATTTGCTAGCTAGCAACACGGCTATTCGTTAGCTCAACGTAAACGATACTTTTCATTAGCTATTATAAAAACTCAATGACAGCGGCAGATAACTAAATTCGGATTAGAAGATATTGATAAACTGTAGTTTCATGCAATAAGAACATAAGCGGCGTTATCCAGTGATGACTTACTATGTGAAATGTGTAGCGGTGCTGACGGTTTCACAGCTGTCCTGGGATTTGACAGGTTGTTAGTGAAACCGAACTTTACTTCGGACGCAAGGATAAACAAATGCTTCAGCCAATGAGAGAGTTTTATTTGTTGACAGACAGACATGCTCGGCCTATGTGAGGCAATGAGAGGGCGGGATGTACGTAACGTTAGCTGCAGCAGGACTTTGCATCAGTGTTTGGAGTATCAGTAGTAAGTGATTTCTTATGATGAAACTGATATTTCTTTTGACAGAAACCTTCTTTAGAGGACCAGAATCAAACAATCACCATCCAAATTATGTCAAAAATAATTTTATTGTATGCACATTCTATCACACATCACTCACTGCTAGAGATCTGCAAATATACAGTCGATTATCAATTCATTGTCTTAAAACAGACAAAAACGTTTTCAAATACATGTCCGAGCTGTTTATATGTGACTGATTATGCCATGATAGCAGTGTAGGTAGGCTTCAAAGTGAAGTGTTTTCCTGTAGTAGGATGTTATGGTCCTGTTCTCTTGGAAATCGAGTCTCTTTATAACTCTGGAGGCGACAGGTGTTTGAGTTGGGACATTTCTTCAACATGCTTTGATGGAGATATCCGTTAAAGAAATCAGTTGCTGACAGCCTTTTCTTGAACATCACCGTTTTGAATCCGACCCAGCCATCCTAAAAATTGTGGTGGAAAAAAAAAATCTGAAAACAAACACTGAATACATGACACATCGTTAACTTTGTAGAATGTGTGTAACGTTAAAGCTATGCATGTTGGAATGAAAACACTAACACTCAGTGTTGGGGTAACGCAGTACAAGTAACGCCAGTTACATAATAACATTACTTTTCTATATATCGAGTAAAGTAACACATTGTTTTTTTTAAAGTCATAATATTTCAGTTACTTTTTGAAAATGTAACAGGTTATTTTGTTAGTTTAATAAATTTGCTTTTTTTTAAATTAACTGCTGAATGAAAGTAGCCACAACCAATCACGCAGAGAAGGTGTTTGTTATTTTGATCACATCAAAGAAAAGGGGATTGTCTCAATGGACAGTGATTTTACTTAGGACAATTAGTACAAAACAGAAGTAGTAAACACATTGCTTTAAACTTTCAAAAGCATTTTTGTGTTTATTAAAGCTAAATGATTGTTATACAGTGTGTTGTTAATAGCAGAGCTCTTCTTAAAAAAATAAAGAAAAAAAAAACTAGTTCTGAAAGAGATCAAGTCTCAGACAGGTAACGCAAAAGTAACTCAAAAGTAACACAACACATTACTTACCATAAAAAAGTAACCAATTATTGCAACTAGTTACTTTTTTAGGGAGTAACTCAATACTGTATTGAATTACTTTCAAATGTAACTCTCCCCCAACACTGCTAACACTGTTCTAAAATGAATATATAGTGTTATCGAACGTATTAAACCATGTGGTTTGAATATTAAACCACATTGAACAGAAATGAACTCTGAAAACTGAATTGACTGTTTTAATTCACTATAATCTTCTATGTGAAGCTGCTTTGACACAATCTACATTGTAAAAGCCCTATACAAATAAAGATTAATTGAAGTGAACAGTAAAATAGTTAGCACTAAACCCATAGAAAATAATTTAGATTAAAAACTTAAAACTCCAAATATAACCTTCACATAAAAACAGAACCGAGCTGTAAAATCGAGCTATAAATCTAAATATATATAAGGTATTTTTAAAATAAAAAACAATGATGATAACTAGGGCTGAACAATGAGCATCGATATTGCAATGTGTGTATCCGCAAGAGTCACATAGCAGGATTATATGATTTATTAGAGGTTAAAAATACAGATATTATTAAATTTGACCTGTTTTTAATTATTTATACAAGGATGGCTGTGCTATTTTACATTTTATTGTTCAATTTCTGTACTTGAATACTTTTAGGCTCTCTAGAAATTCACAAAGCATGGTTTATGTATTTATTTTAGGTTGTAATTTATTATAATTTATGCAAATGCACCACATAGAAAAAGCAAGACTGATCATCCCAGTCGATCTAAATGAATGATATATTTCAAAATAGAGCTATTTAAATCCTCTGGTGAAATTATATTCATATTGCAGAAAAAAATATTGCAATGTCAGATTTTTCCAATATCTCTAACAGCACTTATGTACACTGCAGAGTAAAGATTTGTTTTTGTGCCTCTCTTTGATCATCAGCCCTGTCCCCTTGACAACAACACTGGCTGTGTACAGTTATACAGCAGTCACCTAATTAGGTAAACCAAGTGATTTTAATCCTGCTCCCAGAGATCCACTGCTCTGTACATTTTGTATGTATATCAGACACGCTCAGTTCAGTTCATAGAGGTCTCTCATAATGAGCCAAACAGTCTCGATCAGGCATGTTCCCTCATGTCATTCCAAACCCCTGAGACCTTCGTTAATTTTCAGAACACAAATAAAGATATTTTATATGAAATCCGAAAGCTCTCTAACCCTCCTGAGATGATCAAAGTGCAAAGAGGTACCAAAAACATCCTCAAAACTGCTCATATGCCTTCAGTGGTTCAATCATAATTTTTATGAGGATTTTTTTTTCTTATAAAAGTTACAAGAATAGTATTGATTTTATTCAAAATATTTAGTGTCTTCATCTAATCAGAATAATCAATCCCAATCTAATGTCCATTTACTTGGATATGATAATAAACAAGAAACTGAGGTTAGGTTTTTACTCCCCAATGCTTTAAGGGTATAAAATGATGCCATTTCTTACTGCTATCATTAATCAGGCTAACTAGGAAAAAAAGATTATTAAAAGAATTTAAAGAATTATTAGGGAAATCTGTATTTATAAATGATTGGTGTATAGGAATTTATTGAAGGAAAATAAGGTATAGATATTTTGTTAAATATGTTTGTGACAATAAATAAGACAGAGTAGCTAATGGGATCCAAATAAATTCAAATTCTTCAATGTCAGTTAAAGGCGCGCATGTATGTATACATCAGCAAAACATCAACAAAGCCATTATTTTTGTTTTAATCGGAAACCAATTTCTTAAATGTGACAATAAATTCATTTTACTTGAATGACCTCCACAGTCACCAGATTTCAGTCAAGTAGACCAGCTTTTGGATGTGGTGGAACCAGAGATTTGATCATAGAGAAGTAGCAGACAAATCTTCTGTCCAAACCTGCCTTAAAACACCTGTCTATAAAGTTACCTATTAATATTATGATTAGCTAGTTCAGATGTGTAGGCCAGTGACTCTCCAGAAGCAGGATTGGACACTTGGTGTAAATCATGTCATTTTAGCTGCATGTGTTCAGTGGTATGGAGGGAACGCACTGTGAGCAGTGATTTTAAATTAATTTCTGTAAAAACTAGATCGATTTTGTTTTTCCTTCTGTGCCAGTGGACAGCGTGCTTGGTAACACTCTTAACACTTAAGTGCATACCTTGCAGCGAACGAGTAAGGTATTGGACTCTTTCTGATAATGGAGAGTCCCAGGCACTGTAGATAAAAACGGAGAAGCTGCAGAGAAAGGTGAAAGAAAATGTAATCACTTATATTCCTTCTTCCAGTAGACAAACAAAGCAAGTTAGCATTAGCTATTAGTTAGCATTAAAACCAATTTTGGTATCACTTTATTTTGATGGCCCCTTTAACGCATTTTGTTGAATTTAGGTTACATTACATCTACATGCCAAATAATTCTCATTAGATTATATGTTGACGGTTAGGTTAGGGTTAGTGTAAGTTGATATGTACTTGCAAAGTTTCTTATGGTCAGTTAAATGTCTGTTGAAAGAGCAGTATCAGCAGATATTAAACAGACAGTCTAGTAATACTTAAATAAGAAGTATTTGCCATGTAGTTGCAATGCAACCTTTAGTCAACAAAATGAAGTCGTACCCTATTTTATATATATATACACCTTAGTACACAGTCAGATACATATTGTTCTGACATTGTAATGTCAGAATAATACAATGAAGAAACATATTTCAAACTAATCCAACGTTGGATAACCCCTCTACACCCATATAGATATCGGGAAGAATGAAAAAAACTGGAAATCTATAAAAACTCCTATGCCATCATTAAATAATCATCCACTCTGCTGGTTACCTGTAAAGGACACACAGCGTTTGCCAACATAGTCCAAAAGTTTGATAGGATTGCCCATCCACATTGTTCTTAAAGGAATCTGATTGAGAAAACAAAAATGGTTAGCAATGGCTAAAATATAACTGAGGTAAGTTAATATGTTCCTTAAAGAGCCTAAAAAATGTCAATTACTTTCTTCTGTTGAGCACAAAGGAAGCTATAATAAGGAATGTTAGAAAAATCAGCCATTGATTTTTTTTTTTCTTACTATAGATGATAATGGCTGCTCTTTTACAATATTCTTCTGAATATCTTGTTTTGTGTCTTACAGAAAGAAAGAAAAAATTAAGAAATACAAGTCTAGCACCACTTGACCTCGAGTAAATGATAAGTAGATTTTCACTTTTGTGTGAACTTTCCCTTTAAGATGTTTTTAGTTCTACTGTACCCGAAATCCAATAGCCCGAAACAGTCGGTCAATGTAGTCACAACTGTGCTCTTCCCATATTATCCAGGCCATTGTGGAACTGATCTTAGGAGCTGAAGAAACAGATAAATGGTTAATGTAGTAATCCGTTTTCATATTTTCACATTGTAAAATTATAAGTTTCTGAATTTGCTGACACACTGTTTTGGAAATTATCAGAAAAGCAAGCTTACCCAATGATGCACCCTCTTTAGGTTGCTCTTTTCTGTTTGCTATTCTTTCTGGTAGATTTGTTAAAGTGTCCATCAACTGTTGATTTAAATAAGACACAGTTTTTTTTGTAAGTGGTTAAAGTTAACTATGCTTATGTTAACTGTTTCATGCTAAATAGTGTGGATGAAAAAACAAAACAGAATAACCAGCCCACTGTAAATAAATGAATCATTCCTTTTTGTACTTTAACTCAAAAATGTTGAAGATTGCAATAGTAATGTCAAGGTCTT